TAATTTAAGTCAAAATTTAAAACTGTCCAGAATTAATTCCACTAGTGTAGATCATCCGAGATCGGAATCGATTAAATTTCATTATTTTCGACTATCGAGCTTCCTTCTTAGATACTTTTACTTTTCGATATCGGTGATCCTTTCGGGAAGGATTTCCGCGACGCCCCCGCGGGTAACGACACTTTCCTCCAGACTTTATTACCATCGTGGCTCGAATTTGTGCAAGGTTCTAAATTATGGAAGTGCTATATCGTGGATTTTATTTATACCGTCCAGTTGGCGCGAATCGATACGGTGTTTCAGCGAATGGAATGGAAAGGATGTTGTTGCGGTCGCGGTCGGATCTCGCGGAACAAGCGCGAACGAGACAACGGCCTATGCAATCGCGCGAGAACGTTTCAATATTAAGAATGACTCATGTGATCGACGACAAAGCTCTAAAACGCTCTCTCCTACCGCTAACTTATCCAGAGATAATGTCGCTAAATCGTTCGTACCACAGTTATTGTCGCTCGTAAATTAAAATCGCCCGGAATAATTGCGCTAGACCGCCTAACTATTATTAACAACCGCGGTCTTTTTCCTCCAGTAAACAACCGCTAACTGAGTGCATTTGACACCGCGCTAATTCGTTTATTCCAAGATATTCCGAGCATTGTCTACGATCGTTCGTAAATCAACGGGAATATTTCTGTCAGCTGATTGCGCGTAAAATAATGAAAATTGAATAAGAAGAAAAGATTTTGATGATTTTGATAATTTAGATTTCTAAATAATGTCAGGACGCACCAGATGCGTCGCCCATTGCCCCATATAGATAGTATATGACACACCTGGTGCGTCTTCTATTGCTTCATATAGATAACACACGACGCACCTGCTGCGTCAAAGATTTCAAAAATTTCTATTAATTTCAATTCTAATGCAATATTGCCAATCAACCAAGACGATAAAAATGGTGTTAGGTATGCAAAATTGAATAAAAAAAAAAACACTTTAATTAGCCATGAATAATTTGCATTGCCAACGCGTGCAATTAAAGTACCTCTACTGAATGTATCTCTAACGATACTTGAAAAAGAAGAGGTTCGAAACTAAAATTCTTAAACGGCATTAAAAATAAGCGTGTACGAAAGAAAGGATGTTGTTCGAGAAGCGGCGAAGCGTTCGAACAGAAGGCAAAGCACGGTCTGAATTTGTCAGAGGGATTTTAAGGAACCGTCCAGGCAGAAGAACTAAATGGGGATTCACACGCGGTTGATCTTTCGGAGATGAATCACAAGGAAGAGGCGAGGTTGCACTAACAAGCAGCCTCGTGCAAACTCGAAAATTATTATGTATATTCGACGAAAGCGACTATTGGCAGAGCGGATATCTGAAGACCGGTGACCCGCTAATTAGTAGCGTTTACAAAAGAACGTTTGCTTTAAGCATTCTTGCCCGTTCGCGATATCTGTATTCTTCGCTCGAACCTCGACCATTCGACCATTCGAGTTACAATTACACTTCGCGATGAATTCGTATTCTATTTCATTTTTCGTAACGAACATCAATTTTTATCGATTGATAGTAATTCTTGTTAACAGATTTACGATCATTGACGTAGTATCAAGATATTTTTTCTTGGACTTTCTATAGGTATAAAAATCGCGTTCGAGCCTGTAATCACGAAAGCGTTAACACGTCGAATAGACAGCTTGCGAAAGTTGAACAGCAGAGTCTTAATTCTGAAATATCAGCCAACTGTGCGCGATACGGCGATAAGGGACAACGGGAGAGACCACTTGCAGTTGGGTAATAATTCAACCGATAACGCGTAAACACGTACCACGATGCAGGCTATATTTACCATAGCATCGTACGATTTTAGACAATAAAAAAGAGAACCTGACGCGGACACTTTTACTCGTCCTCCCTTTAGATGTAAGTGCACTATCGCTCATAAATCTTCGGCTAGATTTGGAACTTATTAAACTGATACGCGAACAGAATGCAATCGTAGATATAAAATAAGTATTCGTTAACACTAGATTGACTTATTTACGATTTTATTGCTATATATATAGAAAAACTTAAATAATTTTTTTAAAATATATATTGGTTTTTAATAGAATTATAAAATGTATACAAATACTAATTCCTTCCCCTCCCCACTCCTTAGTTCCAAAAATCCATATGTGATAGTGTTAAATTTCAGAATTTTTATTTAATTTAAATAGTTTAATAATTTCTAATACTTTTATATAACCATCGTGTACTAAAGAACAGTATCAAAAAGATAAGACAATCCTAGAGATAGAATTCAAAGAATGAATCATTTCTAATAACTTCTAAGATAGTAAAATTTTTCTACAACTTTCCCCTATTTTTCCCAAGAAAATTTCTGAATTTTCTGATATTTATTGGGCATATAAACATCTTTGAACGACAGTGTACAGCACTGTGTTCAAAGTTCCAGGTAAAGTGTATACCTTGCTGACATAGGCACGGTACTTCTGCAATATTTACACAGTTGATACTGTCTAAAGCTCGTAAGTGTGAACCGTGTCTCTTTAAAGAAAAGAAGAAAAGCGTCACAGAGCAGCAGCGAAGTTTCTTTCTGTTTTTTTTTTTTTTTTTTTTTTACAGCGGACTCGTGTATCGAATTTTTCGATCTTTTTCCAACACATAGGGGAAAAAGTGCAAGCTTTTCGTCAATGTTCTTTGTTATACCCTTGCACGGAGAAAGCATTGAAAGTTGGAATCGAACGACACGTTGAGAAGGTGAGATTCACAAAGCTCAGCCTTCAAAGTTGGATGGTTACGCTTTCTTGGGTAGCAAGGTTTACCTACTTGATCCCTTTGAGGGCCGAAACCTTTGTGCCTTCTACAGTAGCGCTACCGTTATGTACGTTAAAGGATACGCGATTTACGCTTAGGAAGGCTCAAGTTGTCCTCTGTGATCGGTAGGGAAAATTAGAAAATTAGTGTATCAAAAAACTAAATGTAAAGAACGCAGGGCCGGCCCTGGGCCTAGGCAGACCAGGCAGCCGCCTAAGGCCCCCCAAGGTCCGGGGCCCCCATAAGACAATTTTGCAAATCTAAATTAGTTATACAAGCTTCAATGTTAATTTTATAAATTTTATTTGAGCTGCTTTTTTTATGTCATGTATGCGAAGGTGCCCTTTTTTCGGGGCTCCCCTTGGACCCCCGAAATCTCAGGGCCGGCACTGGGCCTAAGCAGACTAGGCGACCGCCTAGGGCCCCCCAAGGTCCGGGGCCCCCATAAGACAATTTTGCAAATCTAAATTAGTTATACAAGCTTCAATGTTAATTTTATAAATTTTATTTGAGCTGCTTTTTTTATGTCATGTATGCGAAGGTGCCCTTTTTCGAGGCTCCCCTTGGACCCCCGAAATCTCAGGGCCGGCCCTGGGCCTAAGCAGACTAGGCGACCACCTAGGGCCCCCCAAGGTCCGGGGCCCCCATAAGACAATTTTGCAAATCTAAATTAGTTATACAAGCTTCAATGTTAATTTTATAAATTTTATTTGAGCTGCTTTTTTTATGTCATGTATGCGAAGGTGCCCTTTTTCGGGGCTCCCCTTGGACCCCCGAAATCTCAGGGCCGGCCCTGGGCCTAAGCAGATTAGGCGACCGCCTAGGGCCCCCCGAGGTCCGGGGCCCCCATAAGACAATTTTGCAAATCTAAATTAGTTATACAAGCTTTAATGTTAATTTTATAAATTTTATTTGAGCTGCTTTTTTTATGTCATGTATGCGAAGGTGCCCTTTTTCGGGGCTCCCCTTGGACCCCCGAAATCTCAGGGCCGGCCCTGGGCCTAAGCAGATTAGGCGACCGCCTAGGGCCCCCCGAGGTCCGGGGCCCCCATAAGACAATTTTGCAAATCTAAATTAGTTATACAAGCTTTAATGTTAATTTTATAAATTTTTTTTTATGCCATATATGCGAAGGGGCCCTTTTCGGAGCTCGCTTCGGACCCCCGAAATCTGCAGGCCGGCCCTGAAGGAACGATTATTTTAATTTATCCCTAACCGTTTAAACGAGTAAAAAGTTACTTTGCTATAACCTTATACATAAAACATTGAAACTTGGTAGAACTAAATGTTTCGCCGGGAGAACTCATTTAACTCGAATCACGCGGGATAACAAACTAGTTGACGTGTCGATTTTAACTTTGCTCGCCAAATATTCGATACTTTGATAATTTGCGAAAACGCGTATCGACCGGCCGCTAATTAACAACTTTAACCATTTTGCTTGGACCTTCTCAAGTTACTGTTCGCAATCTACAAACTTTTATTCTCTTTCATAAAAATATAAATAAAGTCATTGAATTACAGAGAGTTATAGCAGTCCATTTAAAAGTAAAGTAAACATGTTGAGTAAGAAAATCACAAGCTTCGAACATAGATAAATGATATAAAATTATCGTTGAATTACGTCATGAAGTTTGACGATAAACGATGCATTCGAAATACGAAAAGAACGTCATCGGCCAATTTACAGCGAGTTATGTTCGTCGACGGGATTTTTCAAATGTCTCCGAACACGTGAACCCGTGGATTAAAATGGAAGGAGTGAAAATGTCGGACGGATATTACGAAAAAAAAAAAGAAGAAAAAAAAACCGGAAGGTACGATCCCGTCAGAGAGATCAGCTGAAAAGAATTCCATTGAGATCGATCGAAATGAAAATTCGCTTTAAGGTTCCGTTCGTTACCGCGGCGCGACAGTTCCGAAAGGTTAGAAAGAAATTTTCGAGCTACTTTATGAGTGGCTCCATTTTGTTCGATCTACCGTCAAAGAAGCCACTTTCACGCGCGGGTGTTAACCGTTGACCCGATCTGTCCGTTACACGTAACATAAAGAAAAAAGTGTAACTGGCGAACGAGGATTATTTATTGTTCGCGTGGACCAACTTTATTCGGGGTCGTTAAATGGTATATAGGAAAAATAGAAAAAAAAAAGTAAGAATGAAAAAAAAGAAAATAACTTACCCAGTCGAAGTTCTCCAAAATTACCAGAGCCAATTTTCTTGCCGACACGGAAGTTGGGCCCGACCATGAGTACATTGGACGACGAAGTGACACTATGCCTGGAGGAATGCACGTTGGATCTGGCAGGATTACCGCTACCGCGAGAGATTCTCTTCGCGGCTTCCTGTTCGCGCTCGGAGCTACGAGCGAGCTCCTTCTCGCGTGTATCCCTACCGTCTCTTTTCTGCATGTTGCCAGTGTCCTCTGTCGTGGCAGAGTATCCGCGACAGTTCTGTTTAACGTGACAGAAAGTCTCGATTGAACGACGAAGAAAATTCCCGACGTATGTCCGGTCGATTAACGGTGACGATGTACGTTTTCTCGGGGATCGATCCCCATTCTTGACATATTTTCTTCTTTGGTCGTCTTCCCTTGGACGGTCGCCGATGGAAATATAACTCCAACGGCTTCCTGGGAGGATGCATACACACGTAAGGCACGCACGACACGACACGCACGCACACACAAGCAATGCACGCACAGAACACCGTACGGCGAGTCGCAGGTGTCACGGTTCGTCGGTCGATGCCTTCAGGGGATCAATCCCCATGCTATCCTAACCTAGCAGCGGATTTCAGGAAATGTTTACACTTAATACAAGATGAAGAGGGCAGACGAGAACACGCGCGAAACACACACCAGCTTATTCTCTTCCTTTATCCCCTTCTTCTATCTCCTTCTATGCGGCTAGTGGTTTATCACAGACGGGAACGAGTGTTCTCTAAGTGTCGAGGACCCTGGACGATTCCATACCAATTTCGACCTGCCTCTTTTGCCCGGCCGGCCGGGAGGAACGGTTAAAGATAAATATCGCGTCTCAGTCGATACGGCGTGCATCGCCAAGACTGTTCTGTCGTACGGGAATACACTCCGAAACCTCCTCCATTACAAACGACCCCGCCGCGTGCGATCGCGATCGTACTCAATCGTGCTCCGATAAAACCACGACTCACCACCGCAGACTCGATTCTGCGGTTAGTTTTGGGAGCGCCGCCGAAGCGGCTCTGAACTCTTTCCAGTGACACGCACACAAGCACATGCACTTTACGAGCTTCGTATGTTCTCTCTTGACTAAGGAAAATCCGCAGTCGTGTCACCAGTATGCCCGATCGGCTATTGTGTGCCTGTACACAAGGCCCGGATTAACCGCTGTCCTTCACGGTCTCAACGTCCCAGATTTTCTAAAACGTTCCTTTCCGAACTGATTATACGAATATGCTTCTTTTTAATCGTGTACCGTCCGCCGATTGCACGCACGCTATTTGAAAGATCCGTCGAACGCGGACAAACGATCACGTACAAGTTCACGCTTCTGTCTCTCGCGCTCGACTCGACATGGGTGAGATTTGTTACGAGGCCGACAGTGCTGCCAATCTGAAACGATGTTCATGTCGCATTCGCAATGTCGCCTCGCGATACTAGCTCCCTCCGTTGCAAACGTCACGGATTTGCACAGTTTACAAATGTTTTAAATGCATTTCATATATATATTCGAATTTATTTTTGAAAGTATGGAATCTTTCAGGATTATTATATGCTGGAATAATTCATAAGTTGACCCTCGATAAATATTCAACTTTGTTACCAGGCCACCATGCGCAACTAATTCCCTATCTATGTTTGTTCGATGACATAATTATGATTATGGCGTTGATTTGAATTTTCAAACAGAGCGGAAAGAATATAATGATAACTGTAGCTGCGAAATTCGCAGAATATGTTAATTCTCTTAATAAATAATATATTTTTTAATATTTTGTATGCGAAATGATACCATTCCTTTAACTGATCTGTCATCTTAAATGGAAATGTTATGACATTAAGTTCTACGTTTCCATAGAGATCAATTCGAATTTTACTGATTTCTTTAATATTCGTTAAATGTTTATGGGATTTATTTTTAGTATTTTTGTGAATTATATTATAATATAATGGAAACGTCAATAAGTTTTGATGTTCGAATTATATTAAACATAAAAGAAGGTAAATTTTATGTTACTGTTAACCTCCTGTTAGAAATATTATTTTAACAAATTACTTTTATTTTATTAACTTTAGGTAAAGGTTTTGAACAAATTTTATTACCTACATTAGTTGTTGCAACACTTAATGGACATTCCTTAGAAACTGATGTTGTAGAACCAAGTCCCAATCCTCAGTACAATCATGACTTGGTTTGGGAAGTTGATAAAAATAGATTACGAAAGTACGTTAATACAATAAAATACTTGTTATAAATTATTTCTAAAGCATAATCTTCATTTTATAGAATGAGATCCGGACAAGTTCCATTAAAGCTAGAATGTTTTGCTATTAAAAGCAGCGATCATAAGGAAAAATTAGGGTATCTTCTACTTAATCTGAGAGCTGCACAAGTTTTTTCTAAAACTGATACCATTAATGTGAAATCTAATTGGCATACGCTATTAGGTTTAAAAGGTGAGCTTAAAGTCCATAAACCTGAATTACTCTTGGCTTTAAGTATTCATCATCAAGAACCTACAACATTAAATTCTCAATTAGAGGTAAACAATTTGTTACCAATACATAAGTCTTATATTAACGCACATGACTGCAAAAATCTTATTTAGTGTATAAAATTACAGCTAAAAAATAGTGAAGAATATCACCAAGCAACTCCTGAATCTCCTAAAATAACTCCTTGTTTGCTTTGTGATGAGCGTCTTATCCAATTGGGTCCTTTAAACACTTGTCATGAATTGTTTTTGTTGAATATCACAGCTATATCTGCAACAAATATAGATTCATTATTACCACCAAATTATTATGCAGATATGAATAATAATTTATATTTTTGGTGTAAAATATTGGAAAATGATATCTACTTTAATAGATCTAAGAAAGATTATGGACAGCTCTGGACACTTAATGAGAAAATTGTAATAAGGATCAGAAGTTCATTAAGAGTCCTAAAAGATTATTTACAACAAAAACCATTTTTGTTTATATATTTGAAATATAAAGAGAACATCTTAGGTCAATCAGAAGTAAATTTGAAACCCCTGATTCCTACTGATAATATTGAAGAATTTCTCAAAATCACAGAAAATAGTAATAGCACTTTACAACAAAGATGTTACTTATATAGAAAAGATAAAAGTAATGATGCAGAATATAGAAATTCATATCTTGATTTACAGCTAAAATTGCAGTATGCAGGAGGTAAAACAGATGTAACAGAAACTCCTAACACTGTAATTAGTGATTCTATTATTTCTAATTCTGCTAAAGAACTGAAATCTAATTTAAAACAAACGGTAAGTTTCTTTATTGTATACTGTTACAAAAATGAAGAATAGAATGTTCACCTTCACTGTTATTCTAGAAATCATATGGAAGTGAAATAGATTGTCATAGAAATCCTGGTGGTGATTTTGGAAAATATTCTGTTGGAGCTCACATGATCGACTTCACAAATGCATATAACAGTCTAAATAAACAATCATTGAGCTGTGAAGTTATTCAAAGTCAGCCAATTAAAGCTGTATTTTCACAATCAGCTGATACACTACTGTCTAATATCAATGATTGTTCTAAAAGTGTAGAAGCATATCACTGTTATTGTTTGAATATTTTATTAATAGCAATAAAACTAACATCTCCTGCATTAGCAATAACAAATGCAGAAATTCGGTACTTACTGATTCAGCTTTTTATCTTTTAAAAAATATCTTTTAACTAAATACATACATTCTTTCGAACAGACTCCATCATCCAAAGACTGAAATTGTATCAACATTTCATTCAAATGTGCAATTTTCATTAGGAGAAAAAATAAAATTGCAAGATGTAGGTTGCAAGTTACATTTTATCTCAGCGATAGATGAAATCAAACAGTTATTACTGTCTTTCCCACCAAAGATTAGTATATATAAAAAAGAAGGAAATTCTAAGACATGTGTATGTCAAAGTATTGTTGATATAAAACAATTATTTTCTCAAAATAAGGTAATATGATGTAAAAAAAAATATCTTGCAGTTGTATAGGCTTACTGAGATTCAATCAATTTTTTAGGCTGAACACTTATGTGATGTACCATTATATGATATGGAACAAAACAATGTTGGTAATTTAGATGTTTTGTTGAATTTAGAGGATCATGGTCCGTATTATAGGATCAAAAGATCAGTACAAAGTAAGCTTTTTATTTTAAAAACTTTCACACTATTTACTTTTGTCTCTTTTAACGTGTATAAATTATACTTCCACCTTAGGTGAATATTTGGGACCACCTATTTTAGATGATAGTTTAGCATATAAAATTGTTGATGAGTTAGAAACGTGGAAAGAAAGACAAATGGAAATATTTAAAGTTGAGGTAAAAGTATACACAATTGTAATGAATAGATGAAAATCTGATTGCGTGTAAGATATATGGTAATTTTTTAAAATGATTTAGTTGAAAAGGAAAGAAGATCGTCATTTAAATTTATTGAGTCAAGAGTGGCAAAAACAGAAAGAAAATTTAGAAGCAAAACTTGCTTGCAGCGTCGAACAATGTAAAATGCTAGCAAACAGTTTAAATAAAGCTACAGAAGACCTAAGAATGCGGAGATTACAAAGTCTTGAAAAGGAAACAAGATTAATTAAAACAAATGAAGATTTACAATGGAGATATGAAACAAAAATACGTCAACTTAACGAATCACATTTTGCGATGCTAAAAGAACTTACATTAAAGGTTCGTAAGAGAATGTAATTTGAATAATAATTGAAGAATTGTATATTTTTAATACTTTATAGATCGATATTCTTGAGAAGAAGAAAACGACTCTAGAAGGGGAAGTTGAACAATTAAGTGCTGAGAATGAAAGATTACAATTGCTTCTAACAAAACAATTAGAAGAATTAGAATCTTATCAAAAAGGTTCTTTAACGCAGGATCAAACAGCAAATTTGTTACAAGAGTTAAAAATACTCGAAGAAAAATTACAAAATGCACAAGAAAGTAAATATTTCTTCAAAGAACAATGGGCAAAGGCAGTTCGTGAAATGCATTGTATGAGAAGAGAATATCAAGAAGCTAGACAAGTTCAGATAAAAAATAGTAAAGAAGAATTGCAAAACTTGGAGTAAGTATTTAATTTCTGCATACAACGCAGTAATAAGTAAAATTATAATAACGCATTATACTTTTATATAGTCTAGAAGAGATATTGTGTACTGATACAAATGCCTTGACAAATGACCAGATTTTATTGAATGAAATTCAAAAAGAAATTGATGTGATTAAACCTAAACCATCTTTTACTGACAGCGACGTATACTGCCAAGTATTTACGCCGGCCTCTGTAGATTCAAAAATTTTACAGAATAGCAATAAAAGTACGTTTAAAAAATCGGAAGAATGTGATAAAAGACTGCAGGCATTACTCGAAGAACGTAATTCCCTTTTAAAGACCGGAAGCTATACAATTGATGATACAGTTATTATGAAACTAAATGCAGAAATAAGATCGTTAATGATGAAGTAGTTGTTATAATATTTTTTTATATATAGCAGGTTATAAAATACGTTGATATTAACTCATTGATAAAAATTATTTTGGTAAAAGTTATATTTTATTACGATATGGGACTGAAGAACACTCTACCATCTTTTTTATCTGTGTATGTATATTTATTAAAATAAATATATTGTACTTGTTTAGTTACCCTTTATTTATTCGTAATCGTGATCTCAAGGCAAATTAATCCGTAATTTTAACTATAAAATTATAGTATAAAAAATTCATTTTATCATGTATACCTGAAATTAATAGCTGATACGGATTCTTTATATTTTACAGAACTTAATGTTTATAGATTTATATTACAATTCCTTTATTATTCAGGTTAAGGAAAACCTTTTTGATCGAACATCAATCGATTGAATCAGATCTCCTCCGAGAATGTAAAAGTCTTGAATTATTGACGAAATATTTAAAACTAATTGACCATCGTCATTACATTTTCGACCAGTGATATTTGATACCTTAAATTCTTTAACTCCTAACACTGAAGGTTTGAACAATACTCCTATTGTTATACCACCGTATGTGTCATAAAAGAACAAAGCAAATTCATCGTACCCATCCTAAAAATAAAAACATTTAATGATCAATTATAGTCATAGAATTGCATAAAAAATTGTTATACGTAAAATTATTAAAATTTACCCTAAGTTCTCTTAGGAAATACTGTACAGGATCGAAATCAACAACTGGTATTTTTTGTTTTGAGTGCTTTTTGTAAGGATGCCACTCAACAAGTGGGTGTCCTTCATCAAGATCAATTGCTTGCACTCTCCTCGAAACCATAACTGGTTTTAAATGTATTAGACAATCATATTCTGTGAGCGGTGGCCTGAATAAAGGCTTGTAATCCAACAGAGCTTTTGTGAAAAAGTTCTCCTCAAACAATTTCAAAGATTGTCTTGCCAATGTGGTAATGCGGTTCAAGATCAAAGTAGTTGGTACTTTTCTAGTCCATAACGACCTTTGATGGTCATAAGGGGTTGATATAAACAGGGGTGGTAGAGAAACACGAGATGATCCAAAAAGCGTTTCTACCGCTATTATTTCTTCTTCTATAATTACGCACCACGTTATGAAGAATAAAAATAATAATTTGTGATATTATTTAAATACTTACTACTCATTTCGTTATTGAAATTAACGATAACAGGATCTGTATTCCAATGGCCCCTTGCAAAAATTTCTAATAGCCTCAAAAATGCTACTTGAGGCATCTGAGGAGGCACATACGGCGCAGGAGTTAAGTACATTGAAGCTACAAGTAATTCAACTACTACATCTGGTATATGAGAATGATCCAATAATTGAGCAGAAAGCCAGCGTTTTGTTAAACAACAAGTCGCTCCGAAAGATGGTTGTTGGACATGCAATCTATCATGGACATGCAAGTATCATTTTAATTCTCTATGTTGTATATAAATGCGTAAATAAATAAATAGAAATTTTTTATGAAAATTATTCTTACCCATGTAAGGCACTAGTCAACTTTGGTAATTCAAATAATTTATTTTCCAATTCAATTGATTCATCATTATCTTTGTACTGTATAACTCCATCCTCAGTTACTTGTTGCTTTAAGCAACCAATTTCTTTCTGATGTGCTACTCTTAACCGAAATGCAAATCCATCCTGAAATGATACATTTATTATTAATTGTGCAAATTTAATCAATTAAACGTATTCTGTTTTAAACAGCTGCATGTAATAACCTTATATACGTCGACGTGAGATAAATTTGCATTTGTTACTAAGTTATATTGTTTTCTAAGGCATTCTGCAATTTGTATATGAAAAGCAGCTTTTGTTTTTCTGAAAGCTTCTAACTCATCTGGCCACTTTCCACTAGTTGATAACTGCAGGCTTACTTCAAGTGGACAAACATATTTAGGAAGTGCAGTTATTCCGTTTGCTAATATTAAACAATTTTGTCTTGTCTTAATAAGTCGTTTATTGGGTCGGTAAGTTGTCGACAGTGGTGGAAATACATCCGTGTATCGAAAAACTGCACTGGCTCCTTGAACTCCATGTATGGCTAAAGGAATGTCTGTAAGAGACATCAATTCTTTTTCAAGACCATTAAGTGTGTTTATCGCCTTTAATGCAGCTTCCTCTCCCGTCCCATAAGCAAAATGTGTTATTTTGACCTAAACATTACACAATACCTTTTTTTATTTATTCAAATAAAAAATTGTACAGAAATTTCTATCATTACCTTTCGCAATTTTAATAATTCTTCCATTTCATCTGCTATATAAATGAAATGATTTCTAAAAAATCGTAATTTTTTGGTTAATAGAAAAATTACAATCTTTTTACAGATCAGTCTTTTTCCAGATAATGTTTTGCCTTTTGACCAAACTACTGCTTCACGAATAGATCCATCTTGGAATCGACGCAATTCTGATTTATCACCCCAGAATTTTCTAAATTCATTTGCCTAAAATATGATATTCATTATAGAAAATAAAATTATGATGATTTTCTTACGTTAAAACAGTTTACTCACTTCTGGTAAATTTGCTTCAGGTCCTTTTTCAACAATATTGAAACAAAATTCGCGATTTAATTCTAATCCAATAAAAATTTGTCCAATGTCATTGTCATTGTTCACTGTGCATTCCCATTCCGAAATTTCATTCGGTAATATACAAATGTGGTATACTCTATTTTTTAATCCTTCTTTTAACATGTTACATACAATTTTTATTGCTTGAGCTCGGTAATTGGGACCATAATTTAATTTATCATTCTCTTCTGAATTAGCATTTACCATTTTTCTTATTGCTTGAGTATTTTTAAACCTGCATATTTTTTAAACATTGTTCTTTTATAAAGTTGCATATATATATTATAACGTTCAAAATTAATTACCAGATAAGATGATCAAATGCTCTATAGAATGGTACTTTTCTCATGAAAAGTGCTTGAAAACTATCAGCATGTGCACTGTCTAGATGATTTAAGCAAAGTTCAGCTTCCCTCTGTATCCATTTATAAGTAGCTGTAGATACATGAGCTGTAATATTATGGTAACCAGTACTGTCTAAGAATACACATTCATAATATTTTTGATAATTTAACACTCTCGTTTTACTGTCTTCATCTTGGCTCATTGTTATTCCAGTTTCATGTAAATTAACTTGCACTAAATAATTCCATACATTCCTAACTATTTGATAACTGCTCATAAATGTATTCAACTTTTTAATCGATAATAAGTATAAAACGAACATTGTAACAATATATCCATCAAAGGCTTCAAAACCTTTTGTCAATTCACGTTGAGTCAACCATACTTTCAACAAAATAATACCATCTCTTAAGTTTGGATATTCTTTGATCATTTTCATGTCTTCAGAATTTATTCTCATTGTTAAATCATGAAGAACTATGGAATTGTAATGTGGTGTTGGTGGTAAATCTTCTGTATCTATAATAATATGTATTTAAGTAATATAATTATATAAACAAATATAACACATTTAAAACATACCATTGCTATTGTTAAAAAACCATCCAGGTCTAATACTGTTTTTTTCTGGTAAAAATCTATTTAATTTAAAACTTCCTTCTTGTGCTGATATATGTACCAGTACAGTGATTTTTGTACCTAATTTCCCAGTTGGAACTAGTTTTAAAATTGGCCTTAAATTATCTCCTATAAACTTTTTGTGCTCAGCAATATCAGAAGTAATGTTAGATGCTATGCATGCCAAGTATATTGCTTTCTTTTTTAGATATCTATAATTCTGATAATCCTGTTTTTGAAACATTTTAGAAGGCATTTGGACTGTTAAATCTATAGTGATATTTGGACTAATTGCAGCATCAATAACATAAGATCCTATAACAGTAATGTCAGATGGTTTAAGAAATTTGAATGTGCCTTTTGTGTCTTCTGGTACATTGGGCATAGGTATATGCACATCTAACATTTCTTGTAATTCCGGATCTGAAAACTGAACACATAGATTAGAATACCATCTTATACTAATCATTAAACTTTTAAAGAAATTAAAGCACATACTTGATATTCTTTTGTTTCTTCTATTGATTGTACAGTTTTCTCAAATTTTTCAAACCAAACATCAAATAAACGTTTATATTTGTCTTTGATTCTAACTTCATTTAACATTTCTTCTATCTGTAATCTGAATAAATTAGAATGAAATAAATTCTCTGTTTCCCTGAGCTGATTTAATTCTTCAACAGTTGGTGCTTTATATAAATCTTTGTCTAATTTTGGTTTTTTCTTTGATACAGTATCTGTAAAATCATCTGTGATTTTTCTTCTTTTATTATCAGATGTTGCAAGAAAATTTTGGGGATCTACTTCTTTCATTTCCATTTCTTCTTCTTCTTCTGTATCTCCTCTTTCATTTTCTTGATCTGTATCTTGATCAATTTCATCATTAGAACTATAAGCATTTTCTAATGACTGATCATTAGAATTATTTACAAAATCATCTATATTTGCCTGAAAAATATAATAGTTGCGTCAATCACATTATACTGCATTTAAATCTTTAAGGTTATATTAAGATAATAATACTTATAGCTCTTATAAATAATGTACCTTATAAGGTATCTTCATTTTCGTTTTTTAATTGTTCAATTCGTTGGCTCTTAATATCACAATATCTATAAAATCTAATGTAAAGCATACAATAAAGGACATTCACGCCAACATTTCACGTGCTGTTTTTGAAATGCATTCGGCGCAAACTACTCAACGAGTTACCGATCGATGTTCCATCTATTTTATCTCTTCAAATATGATAATATATTTTATGAATTGAAATATTAACTATTATTAATTTTTATGTTCTTATATTGCAAGTTAAATGTAAAATCTGTATATGTAGAAAATTAAATACTTATTAACTTTATAGAAAAAATAATAATTTTGAAATTACAATGATCTTCACAATGGAAGCCCACTTTTATTTAAAAGAAGAACATGAAATGAATATTCATGTCTAAACAAGCTGTAATGATACATAGCATTTATAGTCATAGATGCCTGTAGTATGACATTAAAAACTTTTTTAATGTACAAACATATTGCCTTATTATATAAGTCGTTTTGCACCACTTATGGAAGAATTATTCAGACCTAAAAGAAGTTTAACATCTTCAATCTAAGAGCAAAAATATAAGTCATGTAAAACTAAATTACATTACTTAATGTATGTATTTAACAATAGAACAGATAGGTGGGGTTTTTGAAAATTAAATTAAACTATACAATCAGCATCTCAAATTATTAAAATGAGATATGTACAAGTGCATTCTGGCAATGATGATAGCAATACTAAAGAAGTGCAAAACATACAATTATTAGTAACAAAATTTCCTTAAAACTGAACTTTTAATAGTGTTGATCAACATTACATTTTATTGAATATTTTTCTTTCTTGTATGAATTGTATGTATATTTTTCACTGCATAACTTTTGTCAGTGATATGCAATTATATATTTCAGAAAACTAGATATTTTTCAAAGCATTTAACAAACAATTTTATCAATAATTTAATAAGCTTGTTAATAAAACAAAATTTTAAAAAATCATACAGTAAAAAATACAATTAACTATAACCAGAACAAACATAAGCGCTAATTTATCTGAATGTCATAGAATTTGAAATGGTTGATAAATTTATAATATACCAACAAATTGCATAATCAAGCAATATAAGTTTCTGAACAAATGCGCATTAAATTCTTTACAATATTATCTTAGATAATATTATCATTATACATTAATGAGCTCAATATCATGATACTATTATTGTACAGATTAATGCTTAAAATTGCATTAATCTCATTACACGGGTATACAATACAGATCTCTTTGAATAATTAATTTAAATGGTATCCTAATATTTACATAATTAATGGAAAGATGTATAATTAAATTGGACAATAATAAAATATTACTTTAATACATACTAGCATCTTAAAGCATATTATGATCACATTGATTATTAAATTATTGAACATAAAAAATAATTATATTAATTTATTGCACATTGCAAGAGCAAATAGCATTTTTTTCGTATATGTTAACGCTTATCTTGAAACACAAACAGCTTGTATATATTAATACATGGTAATTTTTCTTAGTTCATACTTGGACAATAACTCTGTATTTATTAAAAACTAACAATTTTGATCAAACTAGAGAGCATGTAATACAGTCAAAAATTATTTTTTGAAATTTTTCTGAAAAATATTATAGTGGACAACAATCACATAATGAAAATTAAGATGCAGAAATATTGATATACCTCTGTTATTATATAATTGGTCCAATCACAATCAAACCAATTATGTACATACATAACTTTGTATACTTAATATTCAATATTTTTAGGCCCTAAGAATATAACGATTACTTTCCTCTTACCATTAGTTCTCAGAAGATTCTAACATTTCCTTCTTTTTCTATGCACGTAGTATTCGATGCTAAACAACATATAAACAACAGATAATTTACACTGTGACAGAAAAAGCTAAAATATAAGAATATTCAATCATAAACAGTGATATTTTAACTTAGAACAATATTGACAGTCATATCTATAGCTTCTTACTATTAAAAGTTGCAAAAAATAGAATCTTTTAATATAGAAAAGACTTTTTGTTAACATTCTTCTGCATTTAATTTAAATCTAAGTGTATAGAACTATTCATGGAGCAATTCTGTAAGAATTATTTTCTTATCTTTTATATACATTAATTGTTGTAATCAAAATTCTTGTATTAGATTCGTTTATACAATATTACCGATAACTTGACCCTTTAATAAACTGTAGTTTCATCTGCAGATATAGCCAGCTCCTCTTCACTCCAATCGCTAACTCCAAATCCAGATGAGCCATGGAAACTGCGAGATCTTGCAACATTACTAAAAACAAAGCAACAGATATTCTTCTTAAACTACATGTATGAAGAAAGAACCAGTTAAACACATTATTGTATATAACATGTTAACATGCTGGTGCTCTGTTCCTGTATAACGGAAGTTTCTGTAAAAAATTCAGTTAATTTTTCAATATTTACAATAGTATCTGTAAACTTTCTATCTCTTTGTTTAAATATTTTAGCAATTATAAGTTCTGAAATAGATATTCAAAAACTGTGCAGATAAAAATGTTTTAATATGCTTGGTTCTTTCTCAGATCATGCAAATGAAACAAATCAAAAAATAAGAAATTAATCTAGCTGTACCACATTAATAAGCCACAACGAAACTAGCCTGACGTTTTTAATCCACACACTCAAGTTTGTATGTTGATTTAATTTCTAATTATTTAATTTATAAGTAACATCATTTTAATAAAAATAAATAATCATTTTCATAATTTGCTTCACTAAAGCATAATTATAAATTTTGCTATGTAATAACAATTGAATAATATGGATTTTAGATACATTTTTTATGCAAAAGATAAAAATTTTATGTACGCATAGAAGGATAATGTACTTTTTACATCATATGAAACATCCATAGTATTCATAGATTAATAGTGCATTAGCAATGGATTAATATAAAAACTAAAATCAAAAAGCAGCATTATTGCAATACGATTTCTTCAAGAGGCTATAAAAAGTAATAAAAGTTACATTTTATAATACACCTCTTAAAAAAATGTTTATCGCAAAATCAAACAAGTCTTTTTCGTACCACTTGCTTGTATCGATGGTCTCTATCATTAGATTATCGATCGCTATCGGTCCTACCAACATAGTGAAATACTTTTTATATTAACCGGATAAAAAATTCTTTCGTATAATTTTTTTAAATTAATAGATAAGAACATGTGCTAACCTTGGGGAAAGATTGGCATTTGCATTTTTCTTTGCTAAGCCTGCCTTTTTTCTCCCTTCCATTGCTGCTTTCATGGGATCATAACTTTTACGACGTTTCCAATTTTGCATTTCTACCTCTTTTGCATTAGGCGCTATAAATTTTGGTTTTGGTTTTATCTTAGATCCCTGTAACGAGAAATGTTCACAAACAATTTACACTGCAATAAACAAATTTATATGAAAAAATATACATACTGAATTTGGTCTACTTGACCGCATGCTGAAACGTCCAGAATCAGTTCTGCTAATGGTTGTTACAGGCTCAGATTTTTCTCGAGTATCATGTGTGACTGATTTATTTTTATTTACATTTGTAGGCAATTTAGTAGGTTGTAAGTCTAATCGTGCTCTGCGTAAACTATAAATGAATTCTTAGAATGCATGTGTTAATTAATAGTATCGATTAATTAAATGTTAATTTTTACCTAAATGCTCTGTTATATTTAGTGTTTGGGGCAACACTGTGTATATTAGGCTGACGATCATCACTACTTTCTGTATCAGTATGCTCGTGTAATGCTTTTGATACATTTTTATGTAAGCTATGACTAGTATCCTCATCGCTTTCATTATCTGAATCTATTAAAGGTGAACGACAAACTGTTATACGAGCTGACATAGCTGATACTACATTTTGTGTTGTTTGTAAGTAATACGATGTTTCTAAGTCACTGTCGCTTTCCTGTATATTAAAAATTCATTAACAATTATCTTCATTAAAAGTAAATTTTATTTCATCAGAAATACACCTACCAACTGTGGACTACACGGTGGAGGTATGTGATGGTCATCTTGAGCAATATTTAATTCGTTGTCGGACCATTCATTGGTTAATGAAAGAGCACCGCCAGTTCCATGGAAACTTGCCGATCTTAATACGGAACTATCGTGGCTAAAAATCATTAAATTAAAAATCGAAGTTCATCACCACCTGGAAAATATATACTCACTTTCCTGAACTGTCTTCTGTGCTGTGATGCTTCTTTGAATTATCTATTAATTTCTTTCTACCTTCGGCAGCTGCTTTCATCGGGTCATAACTCTTTCTTCTTTTCCAATTTTGGAATTCTACTTCTTTTGAAGTTAATGTTGAATTACTTCTACCAGATTTCTGATCCTTAGTTGCTTTTTGATTAGGACGTTGTATGCCGGAAGTATGCTATAAAATATTGAAAATTACTGAAGTTATTTCTCATATTTAGAAAAAGAAAAAGTAATAGAAAATATTAAAAAAAATATAATTCATAAATATCAAATATTTACATGCGTCGATTTTGGCACTCTCATACTCAGTCTAGTACTATCAGTTCTTGATATAGATACAGCTCTAGGTTTTGTAATTTCTGATTTTTTTAAAGATTCTTTAGTATGCGGATTCACATTATTCGCACGACTTCTATGATAATTTTGTTGCTTATTTATAGCTGTTGATTTAACTTCACTTTGTGCTCTTCTACGCCTTTCTTCTGGTGTAGTATTTGGTGTAGTATCAGATTCACAGTTTAATCTGTACATTACAAAACGTAATTTGAAATATGCAATATTTCATTTAGTACAGATGCCATATTATTTAAATACCTAGCTCTTCTGATACTAAAAGCTCGGTTTAATTTAATTCCAGAGGATACTGAAGCTAATGAAGATTTTGCCTGTTGTTCACCGGCCTCGCTGCTGCTATCAGAAGCAGCAACGTATACTCCTCCCGAAGATGTTTTATCAATATCACTGCTGTTGAAACTACTACGACGAGATGATTGGCTTTGTGATTTTACATTTCTAATATTTGCGTTGCTGCAAGATCTTTGGATACTTAAATTACGTTGAAGAATTGGACTATTTTGAAGAACACTGTCAGTTTTTATTAACATTTCCTTATTATTAAAGCCAACGTTTCCTTCTTGGTAACTTGCAGTACTATTAGATTTCCTTAACATATATGGACTTCAAAGAAAAAGACTTTTAGTATTATAGTAAACAAAATATTTGTAATTTTTATTCTATATACGTACCTGTTTTCAACACAAGTGAAATACCCAATATTTTTAGCCTGAGGGGAAGATTTTGCTAAATGTTTAGTTCTTTCTAATACTGGCGAATTAACTATTTGCGTGATTGTTTTACGTGCAACAATTGGACTATTAGTTAATTTTGGCGTAGACGGTCTTAGACGACTCAAAACGGGACTATTTGGGTATTTAATTTCATCATCTTGGTAATACTTCACACCGCTCTTTTTGGACGTATTACATTCTGTTGCATTAGATGTACATTCTCTCCTATATTATAAAAAATAACGTTCGTACATAATTTACAATCGTTACACTTAAATTATATTTTTGTGCATAAAAATTGTTTTTTACCTGTCCAAGGAACTACTTCGTCTTCCTAAATGAAGGGAAGTAAAATCTTTGGACGGACTACTTAATTCAGTGGCTGTATTTTCAGTCTTTGATTTGTTCAAATTTAAATATTTGCGAATACTTTTCCTAGCTTCACTGGTGTTAATTCTTCTAAAAAGAGATTCAGACAAACTTCCTCTTCTTGTCAAAGCACCGTGCACCGGTGTTTGTTGGGAACTTTGTGGCGGTGTATTATAACTATTACTGGTATCGTCATCTGATTCTCCGCCAGAATCAATAAGTGTACTTTGGTTCGAAATTAAACCAATTCTTTCCCTTATTCTGAGATACGATTCTGAATTTAAATTACCATCTTTCTGTTCCTAAAAATGTTCATCATTACATATATATAATTACTGATATTATACATAGTACCACAGATATGAAATACTTCGTACATAGCGACTACGAGCCAGTCTTTGAGATGTACTATGAATAGGAGACGGTATCTTGGAAGGACTTAACGGAGGAGTGCAACTAGTTGATCCATCAATTGCAGGTGGAAGAGAATTATGTTCTGCTACTTGAGTCGCCCATTCTGATATCCATGTACTATTATCTCTTGAAACACACATCTTTAAAAGAAACACATTTTAAAGAATTCATAGATAATCGGTAAATAATTAATGCAACATTAGTTTACCTTAAAGCTATGAATACATGCTTCATTTCTTTCTTCTGCAGTTAAAACACCAACGCTAAATACTTTGTCAATATCCATTCTTGCTTTTTCTTCATCAGTGTAATCCTTGTGAATTGTATATGTTCCTGCTTCGCTAACAGCACCATCTGATCCTCCATCAATATTACTAACATTAAAAACATCTATATCTGTTTCATTTGGATCATCTGGATTTACTTCCATTGTATAACTAACACTGGACAAATTATGTTCCTTTGTATTAACGCTTTTACGTTTAACATAATTGATATTAGAAACTTTTTCTGAGACATCAGATGAATGTTCATAGTCATCTGCAGCATCAATATTTTTTGTATATAATTTTTCAGTATCATCATCATAATTATTTAATTGAATTCGACTTAAATCATTTATTGTTGCAGATTTTTGTGGTAACCAATGGGGTGTGACATTTATTTTGTCTACATTGCCAAGTTCTAAAGAGAGATTTTTATTGGAAAACTTATTTTGCCTTGATTGCTCAAAAGATCTAGACATTGTATCTTGTTTGTTTTGAAAATTTGATGTTTTTACAGTGCATTCAGATTTTTTAGATACATTAGATGATTTTGAACCTAAAAATAACATTTTATACATATAAAATTTCGTAATAAACTATAAATATCCTGTTATAATAATGTTAATGCTAATGTTAACAAGTAGGAAATAAGTAATATGTATTCAATCTAATTCAGCATTAAGTTTTAATACCAATTTATATGTGATACTAAAATCATTAAGGTTGCCGGCCTACATACTGTGAACATATCAAAGATACTTGTGAAGAATATTAAAAAGCTTAGTAAAGATGATTTCATCATGACTCATACATTACATATATAGTCTTCTTTTACATACAATTTTCTCTTCAAAAGGAACTGGTCTTCAATAATTATAAAAAAACAAATATTATTTAAAAAATTGTATGGTAAATATACATTCATTATAAACAATTATTATATTATACTAATGCTCACAGGTGCCTTATTAACAAAATGTTACTGAACCATTAAATTAATTTTTTAGCAACAATTAACTGTATAATTAATGATATATATCATGCTACCAACGTAATTCTTTTCATCAATTATTAGTGATTTAATAAAAACCAAATTTCTTGGGATTTAATTGTAATTAAAAGGTAATAAAATTACCCAGCTGCTTCAATTTCTCTGACAGTTGATCTGTTTTTCGTTTTGTATCATCCTCGCTACTAAAATAACCTTCTGAATGTGTACTAGAAACTTTTTGTTTTTGCATTAAATTTGAAGAACCCAAAGTACCAGGTTTTTTTGTATTTATTTCTACCTAAAAATTTAATTTCAATATTAGTTATGCAGTTTTAATTCGCTATTTATACTGTTACCATGCCATTATGTAGACAATATCTTTCTATCTTCATTTAATGTTTTCATGTAAGGCCACAAAACCAACCTTGGATGTAGATAAATTTCGTTTATGTCTAGCATTATATCTTTCAAATAAATTTTGATATTTGGTTGCATCAACTTCCTTATTCCCAAAATCAATTGTAAAAGCTAATGGAGGTTGGGACACGAATCCATCAGTTGAATTTTCTGACATTGTTCTTAATTGTTCAGTCTTGCAATCGTTTTTTAAAATTTTCCCATCCTCTGAGAATTCTTTTTCTTCACTTTCAGTACATACTTTTTCCTCTTCGTTCGTTGATATTCGATTATCTTCCAGATCTTTTACATAAATTTCTGAATCTTCCAGTTGTGCGTATATAGTAGTATCATCGTGTTTCTCGCTATCAATCGTTACATTTTTAAGGGATGACAACGAATTTTCAACATTCTCGATGCTTTCAGTGTCTTTTCGAATGCTGTTATTAAATTCCGCCGAATTGCTTGTCGAAAGTTGAGTGTCAACCCCTTTTGATGTATTCATTTCTACTTCCATATTCACAGCCACTAAATATTCCAATTTTAAACATCCGTAATTAGAATGGTCACGTTATCTACAACACTACTATCTATTACAATTAATTCGTAAATGCCACTCCTATAATTACATCTCACTTTTTGAAGGTAACGTCATATACAATCCAATATAGTATAAAATTTTCTGACACATCGACACAGGTGCGTCTAATACACGCCATTGACGGCAAAAAGTGTCAACATTCAAAGCTACCAATGCGCGAAATAAAATATTACTAACATACAAAAGGATTGAGCATTGTGTATTAATAATGAAATAGTAATTAGATACTTTAGGACAACATATGTTACACTTTTCATACAAGAATGTGTAATAATTATATAAAATAAACCACACGATTAGTGGTTCAACCGCAAAACTTAGGTTGCTGGAACGAGTGGGGTATTGTAATACCACTGTTGGTATTAGTGTTTAACGTTTTCGGTTCTACGCGGTCTTCCTAGTTTATTGTATCTTGCATGACGTTAGGTTTATCTTTGTTAGGAGGGCGTGCAATTTTCACGATCTCCGTTAATAAATTTACGTGACGATGCCAAAGAGAAAGAATCAGGCTCTTATAGATTCTGATAGTAGTGGCAGTGCGTCGGAAAGTGGCACGGATTTGGATAATGTAAATGATATAACCTTACATAAAAATCTCATGTTATGTTACTTCCACTTTATACTTTTGATTAATTTTTTATATTTCAAAAGTAAATAGACAGATTTCTGTAGTAATTTTATTCAAGTTGAATAAATTCCAATACATCTAAATCATATATAGAAGATGTATGAATGAAGATTATTTCACATAACCTGTTAAATTTCAAATGATAGACCCACAGAATTTTCTATTTAAAACATTTACTTCAATTACTTGAAATTTACTTTTTAGTAGTTGTATTTTCTGTATTATACATTTTATGAATTTGTTTAATATAATACATGTATAAAATGATTGAAGTTTAATCATGTATCTGTGAACTTCAATTAGGATTTATTATCACTTGCTAAAAAGAAGAAAGGCAAAGCCCAAGATGATTCTCAATCTAATGAAGAGACTGGAACCACTAAAAAAGATAATAAACATGATTCAGATACATCAGATTCTGATGATGATTGGGGTGCAAAAGCTGGTAAAAATAAAAAGAAGAAAGTACCCACTAAGAGAAATAAACGTAAGATGACAAAGTCTAGTAGTGAAGAAAGTGCTAGCGAAAAAGAACCTGAAAAGGTCTCTGAACCAGAAGAAGGTAATTACTTATTTTAATTTTTCAAAATATTAAAGTATTAAAGATATCATAAAGCTATAAAGTAATTTTATATTTACAGGTGAGGTTTCAGATTCAGATGCTAGTGTGTCTGACTCTAGCCAAGAAGAATTTAATGATGGATATGATGACAAATTAATGGGAGATGCTGAGGATCAGGCAAGACTTGCTCAAATGACTGAAAAAGAACGCGAACAAGAGATTTTTAAACGAATCGAACAACGTGAAATTATGAAAACAAGATTTGAGATTGAGAAAAAATTAAGAATGGCCAAGAAACAGGAACTGAAAAAACAAAAAGAGTCAAGAAAGAAAGAAAAGGGTGTTGAAGAAAGGAAACTCGATAGAGCACCGGATCCTAAAGAACGAAGTAAAGATCGTAAAAAGACGATAGAAGAAAAGCAAGATAAAAAATTCCATGCAATGTCTCTTCTAAAAGCGAGACGAGAAGAGAAGAAAGAAAGAGGTAATGTGGTGAATAATTCGAATACAATATTTATTCTAAGAAAAATTGATTTTGTAATTATTTTATCTTCTTCTTTTCTTGTAGAAGAGAAAGAGAAACAGAGGATAGAGCAACAGCAACAACAGTCAAAGGATATTGAAGAAGAAGAATTAGAAGACGATCACAAAGGAGGTGCAAATAAAACAAAGCTTAAAGCATCTGATATTTATTCTGATGACAGTGGTTCATCAGATAGTGCGGAAGATGAAGAAACTGCTAAGCCGGCATCTCATCGTAGATCGTCTTCGAGTGACAGTAGGGATACTGATTCCGACACTGACAAAAAGTCAGTATTTTTTATTATCTCATTAAAGATATTTGTTTGACACGAATAACATCGTTACGAAATAATCGGATGTATTATTTTACAGGTCTGTCACCAGTAATAAAGCAAAACCGAAGAAACCAGTATACGTTAGTACAAAGGAAGATCTCAATAAAATTAGATTATCTCGTCATAAAATGGAAAGATTTGTACATCTTCCATTCTTCGATAGAGTAGTACAAGGCTGCTTTGTTAGAATTGGTATTGGTAATAACAATGGGAAACCAGTGTACAGAGTAGCTGAAATTAGCGGTGTCTGTGAAACTGGCAAAATTTACCAACTTGGTGGTACAAGAACGAATAAAGGTTTGAAACTAAGGCACGGGGCACAAGAACGCGTGTTTAGATTAGAATTTGTATCCAATCAAGAATTTACCGAATCTGAATTTTTCAAATGGAAAGAAACTTGCGCTCTGCAAGGAATATCAATGCCCACGTTTGAAGAAGTTGAACAAAAATTGAAAGACATTAAAGAAGCTTTAGTTTACGAATTCAAAGAGGAAGATATAGAAAAAATAGTAAGAGAAAAGGAAAGATTTAAGCAAACTCCATATAATTATGCGATGAAGAAGGCACAGCTTATGCGAGAAAGAGATGCAGCTAATTGCAGAGGAGATGACGAAACTGCCACTCGGCTTAATCAAGAATTAAGTGAACTCGAAGAACGTGCTTCTGAGCTCGATAAAATGCGTACGGCAACAATATCTAGTATATCTTATATTAACGATCGTAATCGGAAAAAGAATGTTGAAGAAGCAGAAAAGGCAATCATGGTAATTAACTATCTTACTCTGTTAAGTATAAGAAAATTGAAACGTATTAATTTTATGAAATTAATCTATTCTTTACGTAACAGGAGGAAGTAAAAGCTAATAAAGGTAAAAAAGTAGACGACCCATTTACAAGGCGAAGTACAAAACCAAGAATGGTTTATAAGCCTGAAGATGAAGATGTATCGTCTGCTGTTCCGGTAAATGACAAAGCAAGTCCTCAACAAACTGAAACGATAGCAGTAAATAATGAGAAAGAGAATGGTCAGGAAACAAAGAAGAAGCAAAGTACTGAAGATTTATTTAATGCTCATGATTTTGATATCACAATAGATTTGGAAGTTCCAATTCCAAGTAAGTTATCGATGAAATATATTTTCATAACATATTTTGCAGAAATGAAACATGTGTGCCATGTATTTTTTTTTTTCTTTCAGACAATCCCGTTAGTGTATTACCGAAACCTATTAGTAATATTAAAGATACAGGACCTCGACGGTCCTTGAATTTAGAAGATTATAAAAAGAAGCGGGGACTCATCTAACGTTTGTTAACTCTAGAAAAAAGAAAATCCGTTCTTTGTGATTTGATTAATTGTAAAGATAAGAGTGAAATCTTGTAACAGTTGACTGAGAAACTAGCTTATGTATAGTTCTCATATAACGTTAATTTTTTTTTTGTTATTATAAATAATGACTCCTTCTTTTAGAAAGGATATAGGTGGTTCCTACCATATAATTCTAGTTACAATGTCATAATTATTGTATTCTTTACGAAAGAATACAGTTTCAACGTTTATTAAAACATTTGTGTTTTTAAGAAACGCTGTCTAGCAGTACTTAAACAGGAAAAAGTATTACAATTTGGATTATTTAAGAGCTTCGTAACTGAATTCATCTCCTCTTTCAATAATATGACTTTTTATCATCCTTTAATATCGAATTAGTAATTTCAATCATGAAAATAGTTATTGATCATAAATACATTAATCATGATTTTGCGTGTATTATTATAACTTTTCGTGTTCTGTATGTTTAAATAAATATTAGTAAGCGACCACCTCATGACAAAAAAAATATATATAAAAACTATACGTTTTTATAAGTTATATTTACGATAGTTAATTGCTTTATATGAGAACATAATGAAGACTATCATACTTATAGGTATTTTTTAATTCTTTGCAGTGTTCTAATAATGTTACACATGCTGCATATTGCCGCCAATATAATTTGGCTACAGAAGCTTCAAAACATGTTTTACTATAAAAATTTGTACATATTCTCTAAATAGTTCGAATAATTTAAGTTGGTACATTCTTATATGTATATATTACATCATTTTATGTGATTATATATATACGTATAAGACATGAAATAACGATAAAAATATTTTTAAATATATACTTCTTTTTAGCTTAGTATCCAATAATTATTGTTATCTCCGATCTATTAAGTAGAGTAAATACTTAACAATTGTATCATGGTAATATAATTGGTGTTAATATCTATTCGAATTTAGATATTAACTGCATCTTCAATTTGTTCACGAGGTTAATTCTTCTTATAGCCCATAATCATATCTTGAGTAAATAAAATTTGATATTTTGTACTAAGAAATATGCAGTTTTTATATTTATATAAAGTTAATTTCATTTAAATTAACAGTGAAATATTAATTCTTTTAGAAAGTAAAATAATGTTTATAAAAATAAATAAATATTTGCCTAGAAGTATATAATTTTAATATAAAATTTTATTTATCCAAGATGTAGTAGCTTATTCAGAATACTTCATAAAAATCAGAAATATTTATGTAAATTGGTAAACTATAACACCTGTAACTCTGAGTAGAAATGATTATTATCCCATTATTGGAGTGAAACATGTATTTGCAGTTATCCATAAATTTGCCAAAATTGTATATATATGTATCTAAACAGTATATTATTAAAAAATTGTAGAGAAATTCATATTCTTATTTGTGTGACTATAGTTTACTTATTTGAAAAAGTGAACAAGAGATATTTCTAGGAACTGAACTGAGAAACATTATTTATAACACTCGATTTTTATATTAAACAAAATACATTAAAAAATATGCTTTAATATATTTTTACTATTCCTAGCATGTATTAAGGTATAACGATCTTTAAAGGTAGTATATAAACTTCAATATTTTTTCATTTACAATGTACTCATAAAATAGCTTATTTAATTACATTGTACATTAAAAATTACAGCAATAATATAAGATTAATTGTACTAAGAATAATCTTGAAATGTATGAATTATGTTTTAAAACTGTGTAATTGACAACAGTATTACAATAATATACATATATGGATATAAATCTACTTCTATGTTATATTTGTTCGACCAAGTTTACTCCTGTAAGTACATTATTCGAGTACATATAAGGATTAAAATTTTGCGATATCAAAGATTATCAATGATTCTGTATTTGTGACTTTTGAATTTTTACCGATAGAGTTGAAATTATTGTTGATTCAACATTGTGCTGTCACGTTTCGGGGTGTTTTGAAACTGTCAACTACATTGCGCGGCGTGCGCACGCAAATCATGCAGCATGCGCACGGAACGACGCGCGACGTCTGTATGCGGTCGCTTGCATGCCGCTGCCCATATAAGGTAATTTCCCCATGTCCCTTACAATGATTGGTCAATAAGACCGGCAGGTCGCATCAATGATTAATTCACATAAATAACACGTTGTTGTTACTCAAATCTATTTTATGCCTATGTTAAGGTATCAAGGAACTTATCGAACGTTCTTATTTTTAAGATAACCTAGAAGAAAAGCGTATTCCAATTGAAATTAAATGGTATATAAACGACCGGCATGACCGCATCACACAACGCTTGCGCACTGGAACAATCTTACCGGCTTGAAAGGAATATTCATGCTTAACCGATTATAATTCGTTGGTTTATCATAAAAAGTATAGAGCGTTTGAAATATACGATTTATTATTGGATTTTCTCTAGAAAAGTATTTGTATATCCGATCACGACTTTTTGTTAGTCACAAATCGGCCAATCAAGACAGAGTTAATCAGAGTGCGCGCGCGCAGGCGTAGGGATACAGGATTCGCAGATAGCTAGCTGAGAGAGGAGCCTCCCTTCCCGTTCGTTCATGAGCCGCGACCCCCGCGACTGGACACTGCGCCTATCCAGTTCCACCAGACCGAGGCTCTCGTGAAAGTGTAGGTTAAAGTGCTTGTTTACGTGAATCTTCTTACTGGCTACGACATCACAAAATGGTAAATATCATACTGTGCATGTATCTACTTTGAAAAAAATGTCGCCGATCCTTCGGGAACCGGTAAACGGCTTACTTTGTGGTTATGGCCGAAGCAGACGCGCCGGTCGCCATTTCTGTCCCGGCAATACGCCGCGAGAACGACGGCTTTCTTCTTTTGGCCACACCAATCGACCGATTTCGTTACTTTCAATTGGCTTATTTGGAATTGCCTGTGCAAACGATTTTCATACTTTTAATACAACGAACGAGGGAGGCAGACTTTTCACGTTGGGTGCATTTTTATGTGCCAATCGCGATTCCTTGCTTCCAGGAAACGGATGATTCATTTCCAGTTTCGCGATACGACAGTCAAATACTTCGAAGAGCAATTATTGTGATCGGTGACGGGAGAAAATTATATGTCGTGGAAACGTAGCAATTTCCAGTTACGTTACAACGTATCGTTGTACGGTAATTGTTTCGATAAATTCTTTTTAATTGTTTGAAGTATTTAATTAGAAAGGTGCTTGTTCCTTAGAACATTCATTTTATTCATTTTTCCAAATTTCTTTTTTCGCACCACATGTTCCGATTTACTGTAAATCGTTTGACGTAGTTTCAGCATTAAAAAATTATTCGGTAATAGTAGTAACATGTGGAGTACAGTTTTCAAATACAATTTTAGTAGTATCAACTGAGTAAATATTATTTGCTTTTGTTCTACCCGTTAAGCACCGATTTCATCGGAGTTTATAAAGTATATTTAAGTACTATTATCGTCGTACAGTTTCGTATTGAGCTCAAACATTTCTCGAATTTGCGTTGTAATTGCCAAAAATTTATATAACAAACGTACGTTATGCCAGATTGAAATTTCCTTCCAATCTTTAAAGATGTCGAAATATCGAATTTTATTATCGATCGCTTACTATCTCGCCGACTGCATCGGTGCTCACTTTTATCTTTTCAAACATACATTACCTATTACTTTATATTCCATTTAGTTAATAGATAAATACAGACGGTATCATTATCAGTCGTGTTTATACAAATGTGGAATGAACTTGCATAAACGAAAAGTGCTTACGACACTAATAAATCCGTTTCAGTGTGGAATAGTTTGATTTCGCTGTTATTTAATGAGCGAACGTAAACTATTTAAATGTGTTGGCATTAAATTTCATTTGATAAATTAATAATTTAACTTTTAAACTGATTAGTTGTATACACGATACAGTTATCAAAGTTCCGGAAGAATTCATTAAATAGCAGTCGCGTTTCGTTTCCGGCAAATTGGCGACAGAGAATGAACTGTTCGAAACTAGCACAAGTAGTAACTACCATTCTCCGAATACATTTTAAATATTTATGCTGGTTACCGATAGACGCGGTATCCTTGGTAATGAAGAGCTGGGTTTCCTTGCGAAACTAACCCCCCTCCCTCCCCTCTCACGCTTTGCGGATGACAGTGAACTACAAGAGTTCTGGTAGAGAGGGAAAAATTCAATGAGCCCGTAAGGAGGTCGGTTCTTGCAGGCCAGTGACTCTCAAAGTTCACTGACGCCTTTGCGAATGTGGTGAATAAGCTGATTATCTTCGACGTTATTATGATTAATCTTACTGGCTATTTCTTATTCGTCATCGTATCGCTTTTTTCCCACTCGCATTAACGTTTCAGACACTCATTAAACACATATTTTATTACACGTATTAAACACCAAATTATCGTTAGAGATAAAAGATATTTAAACAATTAAAAGCTGAAATTACTGGATTTCAAATACGGCCGTACTGTTCGATGGTAGTCTTTATTCAAGGACTGGTAAACATGTTCCTTCGATATTTTTTTTTTTTCTTTTCTTTATTTTGCGACACGCGCCAAATATTTGCTGTTCTTTTTCCTGTTGGTTTCAATTAACGGACCGAGCGGCAGTGTATAAAATTGTACGTGTAAATGACCAGTTTTCTCGACAGTCGAACAATCGACCGTGTCGCTCCTCGTCGGTGAATCATCTTCCGTTTGACCTTGTGCCACACACAAGAGACGTTTACAACAACGCCCTAGAGGGAGCCAAGTCTGGCTCTAACCGGCATCCCCCATCGTGTCAGAATATCGACCGAGGGATTGCATCCTCCATCCACTGGCTGTCCTCCAACCACGTTACACTTTTCGTCGACCCTTTTGCACCCCGATCCGACCCTTACGTTCGTTATTCCAAGGGTAGACAAAACTGTTCGAATATAATTACAAATAACAAGCATGAAAGATCATTTCAGTGAATAACAAATTTTACAATAATACAGTGACACATGCGCTGGCAAAGTATCCGTTTTAACTTCAAATATCGAATTACATTTTATGCGACTAATTTTAGCGGTTTTGCAATTTGTTGTTTACCACGGTCACATCTGTTCCGTTTTCACGCGATTCTTGGAAATACAAGGATGTTTCTTTTTATATATTCAATTTGAATAGAGTTTCGATCCGATGAACGTTGATCCTAGACGAAAGCCGTTTCAAAAATAACTATCCCACTTCGAACTTTTCACTCTGCGTGCGTGTCGCGCGTCTATGGCGCGTTACCACTCTTTTAACGCATTACCGACAGGAAACGAGAATCCTCGTTTTATTGAAATATGAAAATGCCCCGTCGGTAATGTGTTAACTTCCTTCCCCTCGATACAGGATTTTCAACCGAGCGTCGCGTCATGGTCATTGGCGTAATTAAAATTTTTCTCTGGAATTAATTAAATCCTTCACCTTTTTATTATTCATAATTTCACCTAATGAATGCGCCAAAAAATATCTAGTGGAGTGTTGAAATCCCCAGACTTATTAACGCAGGGGGGTAGCGTGACTAGCTACCGCCCTGAGGTTCCAGTTCGAATTTTGGCGGGACTTTCACGGACTCCTAATATTTTTTTACTTATCGTAATAATTTCTGATGGGGGATAGGGTGTTGGACACACCCTTCTTTAATCCCCACCTGGCTTCGCCAATGGTCATGGTATTTCACATATTTCCACCGAGTGGAAGAAAGACGCAGGCGGACGGAGCTCTGTACCGTGTGGCACGTGCCCGAAAAGCAAGGGATAACTTTAGAAATGGACGTCGGATCTCTTTTAGAGTCGGATTCGTGCGTGGGAAGACTTTATTTCGGTACGTCCCCTACGTTTGCCCGCGAAATAAGCTTAAACGGGCAGACTTAACACGACGCGCGTAATACTGATAGTGTTGATACTGGCACGGCCTCCTCTTTACTCTCCAACGCGTGTTATGTACGTGTTAATGTGCAGAAACATGCTCCATGCTTGTAACGCCTGTTCACCTGGTATTAAAAATGATACACAGTGTGAAGTTACAAGTAATTAAAATTTCCGATAATCGCGACATTTCATCTAAGAACATAACTAGTCACGTTCTTAGGTGAAAAGTCGCGATTTTCGAAAATTTTAATTAATTGTAAATTTACAAATGTCGTATTTTAAATTTTAATTACAGGCTCAAATAAAAAAGTTAAAAAATTGCCTTTTACTATTTTTTCCCCGATTTCGACAATTTGTGATCTTAGTAAATTAATTTGTATAGCTTCTCGAGAAACCTCGAGTCTTTTGGTCCAATTTTAAACGAGGTATTCTGTTTTAAACGGTGTCCGAATATTTTTGCGCGCCACTGTATGTATATTGTTTATTTAAAGAAACGAAGCGGAGATAAGAAATTAAACAATGATATCTTCTGCTCTTTGAAGGATTTTCAAACACAAGTACGATCGTAATCGTACTGTGATAATCTTGACGATAGGATTGAAAATGTTATAAATGTTTGTCTTAACTGGTCTTATAAAATCGTACAGAGTCACTAGTTGCTTGTAGCCGATATCAGTTTCAACAGGTAGGATTAAGTTTTATAAACAAGCTTTTTATCGAGCCATTATGCAATCTTGTGACTCACAATCAGTATCGCGCCCAATTCGTTGTTACGGTACTGATAATGATTGCAGGTTACTAGAAATTTTTCTATTTTCTATCGGTGCAGAGTCGATATCTTATCATATATCGGATATCGCTACAGGTATAGCTGTGATGCTTAGGACAATAAGTATTTAACAGCAAAAATTGAAATTACAAATTTTAATAATAATGATGTTTTGTTTTGTTTTGTTTGTTTAGGCATCCGGAGTAACAGTAGCCGACGTTTGTAAGACGACGTACGAGGAGATCAAAAAAGACAAAAAGCATCGATATGTAATCTTCTACATTAAAGACGAGAAGCAAATTGACGTTGAAGTTATCGGACCTCGCGACGCAGCTTACGACGCTTTCCTCGAAGATTTGCAGAAAGGTGGTAGCGGAGAATGTCGCTATGGCCTTTTCGATTTCGAATATACTCATCAGTGTCAGGGTACTTCCGAGGTAACATTTTTATTGTTGTATAACGTTAAAAATGATCGATGGGATATTCAATTGACATTCCTTTTGATTTTTCAGGCATCTAAGAAGCAAAAGTTATTCTTAATGTCGTGGTGTCCCGACACGGCTAAAGTTAAGAAGAAGATGTTGTACTCCAGTTCTTTCGACGCTTTGAAAAAGTCCTTAGTTGGCGTGCAAAAGTATATACAGGCAACAGACCTTTCAGAGGCCTCTGAAGAAGCTGTTGAAGAGAAGCTCCGAGCCACTGACAGGAATTAGGAGTATTTCAGCAAATCCAAAATTATTAATATTAATGAGAGAAATCAAGTGAAAAAACAGTACGCAAATTCCCTTCCCCAAAATAATGCTCTATACCGTCGTCGCGTCGAAGGTTCGCGTTTTTACACATTTTTCACGTTTAAGCGAAAACGACTACTAAGTATTTGCGCTACATGTATTAGTCATTGGGGAACGTAAACATTAGCAGAAAGGAACGTAAAAGGAATACAAAATATATAAGGAACAAAAAAAAACAACACTTTTCATACTGCGAACGTTGTGTGAATCTGTCTGATATAATATTAATATTATACTATTATTATAATTATAAGATACTTGTAAAAGAATAACAATTTACAACCAGTCAGGCAGTAAGAATGAAAGCATTACACTTTTGTCATCGGCTGTATAATGTTTAAATTAAATTCATTTCATAATGACTTTTTGTGAGATCCCGTTAGTAAATCCCACATTTCCTAATGTTGTGTGAAGCTGTTTTGTTTGTTATAAAAAAAAAGTGATTAGTAATATCGTTTGTACATGATAAGACAATTAATCGTTTTATATATGAAATAAATTTTGCTTCGGTTATTTTGTATAATTCTTTATATTCAATTTAAATTAAAGTCTTCTGTTTTTATATGCAATCGCTTTTTGAAAATATCAAAAATCTAGACCTATATGTTGCACTTAGAGATAGCTAAGTTTTAATAATTTATACGTAGTATTAAATGTTTTACGAAGATTAATTAGAATCCTTTCCTGGTCCTTTTTTAGCGAGGTCCTCTTTATTGATAAGGAAATCATATTTATATTCAAATTGAAAATGATTTTTAGCGCCATCTATTATCAACTGTTAAAAAGTCCCGAAGAATTGGAAACATGAAAAAACTGGAAAATGATTTAATAAAAATTAACTAGAACAACATAGCCAAAGCGTAAGTGATTAAAAAGAAAAAAGAAAACATTCTTCCTTTTCCCACATAATCATAACTTCATATATTTAAACAAATATTAATAGCGGAACTCGCGCGTCCTCGATGCAACTCAGTCGTGGCATTTGCTCATTAATCATTTATACTGTATAGTGTTTTTCACAAATGAAATATGAATAAATACTATTCTATGCAAACTTAAAATTTAAATAATACATGTATGAAATCATAACTAATAGGAATTCTTAATAATTTTATGCTTCATATGAAACTTATTTCTTCACAATTGTTATTTTCTGATAACTTATCAACTAATAACTCAAACATGATTCGCATATTCCTTAAGTCACAGTTGTATTTATCAAGTTAATTTGCATTACTTTCACTTTTCAATGTTAACTGCGAATAAAAGCAGTATAACGATTTTTGTTAAAATTATCCTTTTGCTTTTCTATAGGTGACGTGGTTTATGGTATGTGAAGGCGTATGCGTACAATCTTGCTATTATAAATTACAGTATTGTGAGATGACATTACATGGGATATTATAATACATAATAAAAGATGATTACTGTATACAGTGCAAAGAAGAAAATATAATCGAATAGTATTATATCTCTTTCTATAAACCGCGTTTAATAAAGAAGTAATTCAATATATTTTACAACTTATAATGACGAGTTATTAAAAGTAACTGTTACATGTCATTTCTACTATAATGACATTACAGTGTAGCTTGGTATTGATAAGCAATGTGATAGTACATAGTTTTAACTAAGAAAAATAGTTACTTAAAAAAGTATAAACTTTTTATGTTACATTTATTTTATAAGCTATTATAAACTATGTTATTTGCAATATAAATTATGTTTATGAAACAATTATGTTATGTAGGTGACACTTAAGATGACAACTCCTATGCGCGAGGATGGTGGTCCTTTACGAGAATGGGCACCTCTGGCTATGCTTCTTGAACAAATACCTGCAAAGATTCAAACTGGGCTTTTTACACATAACATTAATTTTACTTGTATTGATGCTGTGCCTGAATTCATAGCTATTGGAACTAATTATGGATTAGTATATTGGTTTGATAGAGATAAACAAGATCTCCAAAGACTTAGATGCGAGGTATTATTAAAACAACATTGTTAATTATTGGGTCACTGATGTTATTTATTTTGTCACTGATGTTATTTATTTTTTCAGAATGTTAATTCAAAAATCACATGCATCCAAGTAATATCAACTGTGGATTATATGGTTGCTGCTGGCAATGAACATGGTGTGGTGACTGTATTTCAGATACCTAAAAGCCCACCAGCTTCATTACCAGACAGTTTGAAACCAAAGCAGAAAAAGCAGGTAGAAAGATACAGTATAAGCGGTTTGCATAATAGTGCAGTAACAACAGTTGAATGGTCTAAGAATGGTATGAAGTTGTTTAGTGGGGATCAAGATGGTCTAGTAGTACTTACTGAAATTGACTTTTATATGGTATATAGAAAATTAAATAATAACTTGATATCATTGCTTACAATATTCTTATATCTTTCTCTTACAAATTTGTTAATAGCATTTGTCAAAGTCATCAGAATTACTAAATGAAAAGTATGCAGTAGTACAATTGAATTACCAGCAGGGCTTGTTATTAGTTTCGACGACATTACGTACGATATTAGTTAACAGAAATGAGAATGGAAAAGTAACACAAGTTGGTCAAAAAGAACGAAAAACGTTAGTATTAAAATAAAACAGTATGATATTTTTTGAAATGTAATACATGATGATTTAATATATACATATTTTAGATTAGGAAAATTAGGTGCTGTGTTTGGTTGTAGACAAAATTACAGTCAAGATTTAGTAATATATGCTAGTAGACCTGGATTACGTTTATGGCAGGCTGACAAAACTGGAACTGTTCTGAAAACACTGATCTTTAAAGTTTGTATAAAACTATATTACTATTTTAATGTTCTTTACTGTTGATTGATCTTACGAAAGATATTCTTAAGGATGCCGTCCGATCTGGTCATACGCAAGTGGAACTTTTAAATCCTGCACCAGAGAGTTCTAAAAGAAATCGTGGGGAACCAACGTTCGGTGTTATCTTACCTTTCTGTGAAGATTTATTGATTACATACAGCGATGAAGTTATATATGTAGTAAATCCACAGACCATTGCTATAATGTCTGTTGTAACAGATTTACGTCGTGTTACTGATGTTGCTTGTACAAAAGATGAAATATTTGTTTTGGAAGGAGAAAGAAACATCATACGTATTGCATATTGTCCGGATACTAATATGTTCTCATCAGGTAGCAATTTTTACCTTAACATTTCTTGTAATTCCTGTCTGTTTATATTTAATAAAAATTTAACTTTTAGAAGTAAGAAATACAATAGATCCGCTTTTATCATTGGCCGAAATTAGTAAACCGGTTACTAACGGTATATTAGAATTAACTTCTAAATTGAAAGAAAGCACAATAGTGCCAGCCATCCCTTTTCATAAAATCAACCCAACTAATATTATTCAATCCGTCGGGTAAAGTATTAAAATAAAATGTTATTTTTACTATTCGTGTACTAATGTTGCATATTTAAAATCATGTATATCATTTTAGTATCGTACCGATTGTTACGGCTGATACCGATGCAACTTCAATTGCAAATGCAGAAGAAGCTCTCGAAGAATCACCAACGATTCCTCTAAATTCAAATACTTCATTATTATCGGATCGTGACACGGTAACGGATAATAATGATCCTGCTGAAAGAAGAAATGTAGAACAGAATGAAAGGTATAACGATAGAAGGCAAATATTTGAAAAGATTAGTCAGCAAGAATTTGAAGACGTTGTCTTCACTCCAGAAAAGAAACTTAAAAAATCACGCAATAAAATAATGAATGGAAATGGAAATTGTTCGTCGTTATCCGATGTTGACGATTTGTCTGTTTTTAATAAGGATAAATTAAATGCTAATGATGCGAAGACTACACACTCTTCCTTATTAACGCTCAGTATCGACGATGATTTCATACTGAGAACCGATAGAAATCTTGAATCCATTCAACGTGATGTAGAAGATAAAGAAAAGCTTTTGGCGGACGTGTTGGATTTCGATTTATCGAAATATATGACAAGTAGCCAAATTGCTGCTACTAATTCAAATGTGTCCGAGTCTATCGATTCAACTACGTGTGCCGAATGTAAAATACATTCCAATGGTTCTTCAGCAGAAGAAAAAAATGAGCAAAATGAATACAATGAACATAGTGATCATACTGAAACTGAATCTGGAGACGAAGATGTTAGTTACCGAACTGAGTTGAAGAAGTTGGAAGATTTAGGTGAATGTAGGAAGAAGTTACTACAGGATAAATTAAACGATCCTTCAATACATACGAATGATCGTGATACAGATAGACGCAATGTAGAAGTACAGTTTCGTAGTAAGTATAATAAGGTCAATTGCTAATGTACCTTTTCAGGTTTCAGAAAATATTTATATTTTCAGTTGTATCAACAGAGTCTATAATGTCAACAACATTGGAAGACGAAGATTGGGTTTTAGTGAAGAAAGATATGTTTATAGTTACAACGTAAGATAAAATAATACATTATTTTAGATAAAATTACATTAACTTTTAACTATAGTTTGAAAAATAATAGGTTTTAAATAGATGTGTTTTTCATTTTTTGTGCACATCTAACGAACAGTCTTCATATATTGAAATCAAAGCACTATTGTGTATAAGTTTTTGCATACAAAATTGAAATTTTAATAACGCATTTTCTAGTCTTGCTGCAGTGCAATTTGCATTTTTATAATAATTCTGAAAATCATGTTCAGTGAATACTATTTATTTGAGTATATATGCATATTTTTTTATTTTATTTAAACTGTAAAATATTGCAATCGTATTTTTATTTTAATGTTTTCGAATTAATGAATATTTTCCTGAATGGAAAATGGCGAGGAACTTTTTTATGATCTATTGTTGTCAAGTATTACTTGTGTATTGTTACACATTTAAAATAATATAGAAGTACCTTGGATTTATGATATTAGTGTTACATATAACATTCCAATTTGAATTTTTGTGACAAATAGATTTGAAAGTAAAAATGATATTATATGTAGTTATCTTATCACAATATAAATGTTAATACAAATTTTTGCAAATCAGTATTAGATTTATTAATATGGTAATCCTCTGAAGATTGTAAATTTCATTGTAAATGTAGACATAAATTTCAAACAAAACTGTAATTTCTGCTGATGTTAAAAAAAATGTACTATTCTATATGGATAGATTTACGTATTAATTTAAAACGTGAAAAAATATTGAAAGTCACACTTTTAGATAATAAAACAATTATACTTTATTCGTAATTTTTATTATTTATACCCATAAAATGGAATAAAGGTTCAGCGTGTATAAAATTATTTCAAGAAATGAAAAACAATTTTCTACTAAGAACAAGTAGATTTGGAATAATTTATTATTTAATGATGTACATGTTATTTAATGAACATCTAGATCAACATCTATACATAGATTATTCTTTTCGTTTCCACTGAATATTATAAAAACTGTTCATGCTGTGGAAGCAATAATTTCACTATACCTTTTAACTTTAGTAGCAACACTCATATCTACATATTTATCTCCCACTGATACAATCATACCTCCAATAATGGAAGGATCAACTTTTGCAGTTAATAAGATATTTTGACCTTTGCTTAAGAATCCTCTTAGAGCTTTCTCAAGCTTAGATCTCATATCAGCATCAAGTGGTTTGGCAGTAATTACTTCGCATACAACCTCACCTCTGGTAGCAGCCATTAACATCTTAAATGTATTAATTATACCATTTACTTGTCCAAGTCTTCCATTTTCTGCAAGTAAAGTCAATAGATTTGCAGTTTCTTTAGCCAGGCTGAGTTTACCAGCAATTGATTTAAGTGCTTCAGCTTTGTCTCTTCGTTTTATTGATGGATCTTTCACAAATTCATGTAGCTTCTTATCAGTTTTTACAAGTTCCTATCATAGTAGAGAAATTAAAAATATAGAACTTTAATTCATTATTATATAAAATACAATACATATTATACGTACTTGGAATTTTAATAAATCCTTTTCAACATTATTTAGTGTCTTTTGTTTTGAAGCAGCTGAATAAAGTGCTGTAGCGTATCTTCCTTGAACTCCAAATACTTGAATTGGCGGCTAACATCGTACAGAAATTAAATTAATAATGATCAGAATATAAATCAAAGATATTATTTTAAGTTATGTAAGTTTACATTTAATATGGAGTTAATAAATGTACCTTAACCATTTGTTGAGCAATGGAACTGCTACTGAACGATCTTGCCTAAAAAACAAATATTTTTTATTAATTTTACAAGTTGTTCTTAGAACTCAGTGTTTTCATTCTATCAGTTCAATAATTGAGTTGTCAGAATACTTAATTTTGCCACTGAAGATTTAAAATCATTGATTTATGTATTACTTGCAGGTTGATAAAAGGTAATAAGTTACGAATGTGATATTACTTACAATTACTCTGCTGAAAGACATGGTTCTATACTTTAAACAGCACTTTAACAAAATCCGAGAACGACAAATGTGGTTCTACACATTTACCATTATATAAGATGGACCAATTTCATATGTGTGGGTGGAGAACACATATATACCTTTTGATAGAAAGCGCCATCTTCAGAGGGCGCAAGTTGAAAGTGCGCAAAATTTTGTTCGGAAAGTAGTGTAGAATAGTAAGAATAGTAGTGTAGAATAGAAAGTAGTTAGGAAGTAGAATAAAATTGCAAAGTGATTCGCTCGTGAATAGGTGAGTTTTTATTTGTTTCATAATTTATATTACATTTATTTCTTATTCTAAGTTAACTGTTTCAAGTTTTAATGCATTCATGTGATTTTGACAGTTGTAAGATGGCGAAAATGTGTTGTTATAATATTGAACGACAATTGGTACCAACTAACACGAAAATGGCGCGTCAAAGCTGATTACTTTGTAAATGGAGTATTCTTCAAACATCATTGTTAAGGTATGTTAAACATTTCTTTAAAACATTAAAATTCAACATGAGGTTTTAATATATAGCGATCCATTTATTATTTTTCAAACGTGATGAAGTTGACAATTATACTTCTCATCGGTAAAGATGTTGGATGAACAATCCCTAGTATTTTCGTACCGCCAATTTAATTAGCTGTAGAAACATTTATTATATGGACAGCACGTTTAGGATTACACACATTGATAACATATATATTATCTTTCATGCTATTTTGTGCAATATCAATTAGATTATCAATCGATATGTGTAGTTTCCTGTTATCCGTCCTTGTTTAATGTGACACAGCTGACAGTTTTACAGATATCTCTTCTATTATTTATTCATTACATTTGATTTATCTTTGAATCGTTCTATTCAATACGACAAATAAATTGAACGCAACATACACAAAATTATTACCACGAAGAAATTTCACAAAGTTATACTTTTTGCTTTTTTCTCATTTTTTGGTCGTTAATTATTTTATAATTAATTAATTTACTTCTTTCATTCTATTTAACATTAATATAATGTAAATACCAATACTACGTAATTTAAGAAGCTAACCATTTTGTTGTATCTGTGGACGCACAAATGTGTACCAGATTTATTGTTGAATATCATGAATAATAGGTTAGTAACCAGAATTAGTATTTTATCAGTATTAGTGTTATGCATGGTCATAAAACTAACACCATATACATTTATGTGAATACATTCATATGTATATCTTTTTTTCTTCAAAACATTCATACAATAATATATGTATTTAACATTAAAACAAACCGTGTATATATGCGCATTGCTCGTTTACCATAAGAGTGACTTTTATAATTACTTCTCTTTGTTAATTAACACGTGAACGATAATATAACAATAGTAACAAAGGATATTTCTGTCAAGCTTTAATTAACATGAAAATTTCATAGTTAAAATAATTCTCTCGCGTCAGTTTTATCGCAAACGAGCGGCGCGTGGTTCAATTTGGTCCTCTATTGGATTCATTAACGTCTAATTTGATCGGCATTTCTCTTTCTACTTTCCGAGTTGACGCATTTCTCTAGCTTTCTGTACAATGTACACTGTCGGCAAAATATTTATGCTCGTTCTTCATCTGTACCCATCATTTTCCACAGAGATTTTATTAATCGAATTCAAATATCGCGGGGTAGGACACGAATAGTCACGAGTACACGTTCGGAAAAATTCGTGCCTCGGTAGATGCTATATAAGAACACGCGTAGGTATGATCGTGTTAGTACGCGATCAGATCGCACAACATTTAGAAGGGGGGCTGTTTTTTTTTTTTTTTTTTTTGCAATTTTGATATTTTTATCCATTAAATACCATTGATTGATAATCGGTGCAGATCAAAGAGCGATATACATTTAACATCTATTTTTCCACGAAACTGATTGGTCGATCATCGATACGATTATGATCGTATTATTAATTCGGTTCATACTCAACTTCAAACGATTCCTCTGTAAATGAAGCTCCTTTAAAAAAATATCTTCGCAGAATATGTATATGTATATCTATATTTATAGATCTGTATCTTATTAACTAAATAAAGCTTGTATCAGGTTCTTATCGTCTACCAGACTAGTCGAATCCAAGATTCTTCACGGACATTTAATCCTTAGACCGGCGATGACTTCGTTTAGTCAAATGAAACTTTCGTAAAACGAATGATCGAAACTTTTATTAAATTTTTGTTATCAACACCATCGCTGAGTGTTTAATTATACGTACATTCGTGTACATCACGAAACATAATAGTCAGATTTCGTGCTCCTATCCATTTGTCTGGAAACACGAGTTTCTATTATTCAAATAAACCATTGTTACCACAACTATTATTCAAATTATATCTCGGTTATTCGGTTACTGTTTCACTTACGAACTGGTGGCAAGAACCAAATCGATTGGTAACTTCAGCCAGTCTATGGGTTAAAATTGGCCCGGTGTGTAGAACGATAAGAAGAATGCTTGTTGAACAACTCAGTGATCAACTCAGACTTACTCGAAAGCGAAACGCTGGCAGTCTCTTAGAATGCCGACGAAATGAAATCGATTAACACCAGAAGGTTCAAAGGATCCATATTTTTTTCGTTAACGATAAACACGTAAGCGAACGAAATTTTTGCTCCTTCCAGCGTTAAGTTAAACGTAATTGGCCCTCGCGGTGCAACAGAAAAGATTCAGAGCTTCGTGCAAGTAGGACGATTGTCTAACTGATCTATTAGATCTATCATTGATGTGATTCCATCGGTTTCTTTGAACTCGTTTTCCGTTCCCACGATTTCCTCTGTTTCCGCTGTGATGCAGAGCCTGGTACTTTTCTGTGAACAGAAACAGAAAGAAACAATCTCAGCTTCGTCATCCTCAATGGTATTATTCGTCTCTAATAACGTCGATTATTGTACTTGGTTCGTTAAAATTCAGTTAATGGAAGAAGATACTTTGACATTCCCGGACGTTGATAGGCTAAGTTGCCTGCGTAATTATTTAATGGATGGTAATTCCGTTGAACGGAAGCTCCGGTAAATACGCTTCTGTTTGGAGCGATTCTCTTTAACGTTCCCCTCGAAATTAAAAATCAAATAGCACCTTAATAATTGATAACGACCTAAGGCTTAACGAGACCAATCGGGAAGGGGGAAATATTTTCCCTTACGACTTTATTGAATTCTTTTCTAATTGCTCGATCGTATCGATCATCTCTGATAACGCGCGATTCCTTCTGCGACCCAGATTACTTTCACCCACTTTCCCTTTACCCGATCGCCGCGAATTTCTTTAATTCCACTGGTCAAAGCGTCGTAGAAAGAATTTTTCGTACCCTCGGAACGATCCTCGAGATTAGTCTCGCGGAAGTGGGTGAAATTCGGAGGGAAGTGCAGCAATAGGGGAAAATCATGCGAGCCGCGACAGGGCGCGATGAAAGAACGACTTAACTCGTGCGATGCGGCGATCGCAATAAATCGAGACGTCTCCTCGTTGAGCCCCTTTCGCGTTCGCCTTTTGCATCGGTCGTAAAATCACGAGAGGTTTTCATCGAGGATCGCCGGCGATAAAGTACGTTTCTGTGAATTTCAAAGAGGCGTCCGGTCGAAAATCCACGACTCATTGTTACGAATAAGCTGGTAGGTAAATTACCGGGGAAGGTAAGAACGTTGGGGTAAGATTCGTTGAAAATGAGGTTTCATCTAAAGAAAGATGGTAATCTCCGGTTCTCGTTATTGGCACAAAAACGAATTCCTCTCGTCCTTGACCCCGATCGACGCGAAACGCCGATGATACGTGGCCGTTGTGCATACATATTAATTTCGTCGCGACAAACAGAGGATTCGGGGACGAGAATGAATAAAGGGTAGGCCAGGCGCCGCGGCGTGTTTCGAGTACATGGGTGGAAGCTTTGGTGAGTTTACCTGGTGCTAAAGGTTTCCCCGACCTTGCCCGTTTAAATTGTTTCGCAAATCGTGGCTCGAATTGCTTTATCGGTGGTCGTGCATATTTCCCCTTTCAAACCCACCGATTTCCCACCCTTTTTCCGTGTCCGTTGAATTCACGTTTTCGCGGAGAACAGAGGGAACGCAGTCTATCCTTGACCCGCTCTCTGTTTAACGTTAAATAATGATCTCGCGGTTTCCGCCTGTGCATATTTATTTCCCTGCCCTCCCTGTGCGCGTTACGCGTGCATATCCGTCAGGTGCACGCACAGACACCGGTGCATAACGTTAATCATCTGGGTATACAGGGAAATATAACAAAAGTAGAGGAGTGTCTTTTTAAATAAAAGAAAGTAGAAAATATTTCGTTGAGATTCTAGAATCAATTGGGCTTATTCCACCCCTCTTTGTATCCCTAATTTACCACGAGCTACTTTCAAAGAATCCCTTAAAAGTCGCACGTGCGTCCGCTAAGCTGGTTTCCTTCGAATTCGATTGCGACTAAACCGCGCGGGTTCCTTTTTATTCCCGCCTCGTTTCTTCCAAGAGGTTCAGCACCGAGTTTTTCCCCCCTGAAATGAATTCTCTCGTCACGCCTGGTGCACAACACTCGAGCCGGCCCTTTTTCGAAATTTTATCTACGAGTCCAACGATTCTCTCCTTGTTGTTGGTTTTTATCCCTTTATTTCCCTCTGTAGCCGCGTACGTTCTCTCTGGAGCGTGAATTTCCCGTCCGTAACACACAGCCAGAAGGAAGTCTGTGTTTCCGCTCGACCTTGACCCGTTTCCCGTTCAATGTCAAACGTTGCTCTCTCTCGTTCTCTCCCTGTCTTTCTTCCGTCCTGTCGCACCGATTCGCCCTCCTTCCGCACCCTCCCTCACCCCCCCGCTATTCCCTTGATAAGCGTTCGAAGTTTCGAATTTGCCGGTTACGGGATCGAAGGTCGCGGATGCACGACGATATCGGTGGTTCGTTTCATGGACCAGAGGGACGCATCCGAATTCGCTCATTACATCGACGGATAATTAAGGTCACCGTGTACCAGCCGACCGAAAGACGAACCGGATAAACCCTATACCTAGATGCTTTATCCTGTCGGAAGGTAATACGTTTGTTCCGTTGAATCAATGGCAACTTAAGTGCGACGAGGTAAGACGTAGACGAACAGACGAAGACGGAGAAATTGTACTCCTTTGAAATCCAGACCTTGGCCTCCGAAGTAACCCGATTAGAGACAGTTGAATAGAGAAGAAGAGGGTGCAGGCGGAGGGGAACACGGGAATAGGGAGAAGGAAGAATGGAAAGAATAATCGAGGGAGGGTGTGAGATATTAGGGGGTGAATAGAGCGACCAGTTCGCAGAAACTGCTAATCGAATTAACGGCACTGTTTACGTTCCAGGGGGATCGACAGTAAAACGTATCGCAAACGTTGCTCCCTTCTGACTGCGGAGTTTTATAAGAAAAATATACATAATTATTATTTTAAGAATTATCTGAATAGGTGGATTCTTAAATTTTGAACAGGAATTAAATTAAATTTGGGTCTCTCTCCATGGTCCGCCATCCGAGGGTGAGATTTCTCAAGAGAATAGTTAGATGCCTGAGTCATTCATAAGCAAAAATATACATAATTATTATTTTAAGAATTATCTGAATAGGTGGATTCTTAAATTTTGAACAGGAATTAAATTAAATTTGGGTCGCTCTCCATGGTCCGCCATCCGAGGGTGAGATTTCTCAAGAGAATAGTTAGACGCCTGAGTCATTTAAAAATATACATAATTATTATTTTAAGAATTATCTAAATAGGTAGAGTCCAAAATTTGCAACCCAAACTAAATTAAAATTAGGTCTTTCCCCATGGTCCGCCATCCGAGGATGAGATTTTCGAAAGTAAAGTTAGACGCGTGTGTCATAAATACGACAGAGTATGGACGGGCAAATGGTTTTGAGCGATAGTGTATATTCTGTGCTTTGATAACCGATGGCGTTTGTAATATCATCCCCGAGGACGAGTAACCGGGATAAATTCGATCGTGGATAGGACGGTGAGGCAAGCGAGTTGTCGCGAAACAAAATTCGTTCCGTAACGATGAACGATGATAACCAGAAATACGACAGTACCTATATCGCCGTCCGATTGGGGCATGAACTCTTGCAGCTCGTTGATCAATTCTCGAATTTCCTCCGAATCTTTTCTGATGCTGCCCAACTCCTCCTCGTAGAAGTTCGGGGTGATCTGTTTGCACAGAAGTATCTGCGAGATCACGTTGCCGATGTTTGATGGGCCGGTTCGAGTTTCTGAAACGGGAGTGGAAAAAAAAATGAAAAATATTTTTACGGTCGCCCATCGCGATGTAACAAACGACGCTGACAATATCTCTTTGCTTTTTATTATACCTAAAGAAAATGACGTTTTCCCGATGGAAATATCGAACCGGGTAACAAGTTAATCCGGTTCGACGATATTTTTTAAGCTCGTATTCGATTGTCACGCGTAACGCGTCTCGTGTAACTGGATTTTCGACGAAAGTGAATTTATTGCTTTATAGGAGATTCCTCGCAAAGCTCCGGTTAATTAAAATGTTTCGGCCGAAGCTGTACGCCGTTCAATTTATCTTCCAGTTAAAGGAAAGAGGGTTGGTGAACTTACCGTACTCGCTCATGTCCATCGGAACACTGCGAATCAGACGCTCACTTTTGAACAGTTCGCGTAGGAACAATTGGGAAACGTAGAATAGCAGCATTAAATTCGGGCAGTCTACGGGTATACCGATGTCAGTAGTCCTGAAATCAGAATATTAAAAATTTTCGATAACGTTCGGCCGATTCATTCGTTGACTTGTACTACTTGCCTAGGAGGGATGAAATATTAAATGAATAGTGTTATTTAATTCTAAGGGAAGCTAATTTGCATTTTAGAAGAGCTTATTCCGATCCTTATTTAGTTATCTACTTCGTTTCAAAGCCAAAATTTAACGAACCTCTCGGTTCAGGAAACTCGAAGGCAACCGCGATTTTTCGCGATTGTTCCCCGTCGGACAAAGAAGATTTACGTATTAAAGAGGCGCTTTTAATCCTTCCGTTCGTCGAACGAGAAATATTTAATGTCGTTCTAGTAAACTCGAGAGAAAATCCGAGCGATTTATATCGTCACGGGGCTGTTTCCGCGTTACTTTCTGCCATTTATTTTCTTTTCTTCTCGAGGTAAGGTATAAGATCACGGTATTATAACGAGGTACATTGCGATCGCGAAAGAAACGCTTGTTCTCTGGGAAGCTTAGGTGGGTGGAAAAATTTCTTCCTTCTTTTTTAACCTTTTACAGTCTACCGTGGAGACTGAATCTACAACGGATATCGCTCTTCAAGTCCCACGTTCACTTTCTTTTCTTTTCCCTTGAGTTACGATATAACCCACGGCATTGTCTGAACGTAAATTTGTAGAGGGGTAGTTTCGCTGTTTTTAAGATACAAGATGATAAATAAGAAAAATTTAAGGATCCATTATTCACGTATCTTTCTTGTCCCAAATAGTCGAAGGGAAAGATGTTTTCCATGCTATCCCCGACCGGTCGTCTCGTCGAAAGCCATTATTTAGTATCGTAAAAATCTAATAAAACGCTGGAAAGTAGGAGGCATCGATTTCAAGCCTGTTTAATGCCAGCTGCTCGAGACTGTTAGAGACGTTTATCGTACAATTTTCCATCCGATCGCGGTCTCCAATTCTTATCGGGAAAGCTTCCTCGAATTTCATTTCCGCGTTACTTCCGGTTACATATTTCATTGCCGGTTACACCGTATATTAACGGTGGAATAAAGCTGGCAACGATCGGTCGATTGTCGTGCAACGACGACTCGTGTTTCGTTGCCCGTAATTTATGGAAAAAAAAACGCTTTCGATTGCAGCCGCAAAGGCGACTTTCGCAATAAACGTTTCTGGAAAATCGTGCGCGATACGCTATCTCTCGAGCCATTTCGAGGCGTTGTAAAAGGGATACAGCTTATTCCACATACCCTTGCCAATTTCTCTTTCCTTTTTTTTTTTTTTATGAAACAAGAAGAGTGTTCCGCGTCGCGTGTCGTTTAACTGATACGAAACTCGCGTGATTTCGTAAGATACATTGCGCCTGATACGGCTGCCATATCTCACGAAGGTATTGGTAAAAATTGATCGCGCGATGAATCAAACACGGCAGGTTTTTAAGCGTTTTCAGGAAGTCGTTGATTATCCCCTTGAAATTCGCTCCCTAATTCGAATAATCAAACATCGTCGCGGACACGATTCGCATTAGGGATGTGTGGGTACCCGATATTACGCGTACGGGCGGGCTCGGCCGGGTGTTCTATTTCGGGTCAGGTCGGATAAAGTCGGGTAGATTCGGACGCGGCCCGCGACCCAACTCAATAAGCATGTTCGAAATCTATTTTGTATAAAATGAACATACAGGTGGTATGGAATGAAATTTATTTCAAATAAATTCGTCACAAGTATTATTTTACCACATAAAAATTATCATATTCCAAAATTCCACATAAAAGAATTAGGCCGCAGCCCGCGGGAGCTCGTTCGAGTCTGCCCGACTTTATCCGACCGGGCTACCCGACTGCACGAATGCATCGGACACCCGGCCGAGTCCGTCCGATGTTATCCGAACCGACCCGAATAGTCGGGAACCCGACGCGACGTATTAGTCGGGCCGCACATCGCTAATTTGCATAGAATTACCGTCCGAGCGACGTTTAAATCGCAATTAGCGTGTGTTTGACGTTTGGAATGTGACAGAAATTACGCAGCGACGTTACGTGAATAGGGATGCGAGCGTTGGGCACACGCGATCTGTAATTAACCGAAATTATGTAACCGGACGACGGGATAAACGAATGCGCAGTATTCGGACCGTTCGACCGTAGGACTCGTTCCCAATTCGCGAGGGGATTTTCTTTGATTTTCTATCAAAGAAGTTCTGGGAAAATTGCGCGACGTACATTTGCATCGAACGAGCCGAGAAGCCCGACCGTTTCCGGCAACTTTCCCGCTGTAAATCAACGGGGAGACGAATTAACGAGGACCTGGAAGGGAATGGAAACTCGTGAAACATTTAACTTCTCGTCGGAACAGGCGAACTCCTGTAGGAGAATCTTTTTTTCACAAAGACGCCGAGGGTTCTTTGGTGACCAGACCTTGGTCACTTTTACCTTTCTAGGAAAGCAATCCCCGGAATCGATAACATTCTTTGCCGGGCACGTTTCAAAGTAACAGAACTTTTCTGATACTATTATTCCGTGCCTTTTCCTTGCCTGTTTCACACACGGCTCAATCACGATAATCGAAAGGCTCGGTAAAGAATAAGAAAGTTCGATAGATTATTTTTTCAGAAGCTGGTAATGTTGTCCCAAGATTATCGCGACGATCGCGTAGGGAAAGAAAAGCGAACAATTTACCCTTAAGAAATCGATTTGCGCCGCGCCTAAGGGGATGTAATTTGGGGAACAAAAACAGGATCGTAATAAGTCTGATAAATCCTCCGGCACAATAGAGAAGGGACAATAGCTTTTATTTAGGGATTTCCGAGCTAAGGCGCCGCGTTTTCCAGTATCATCCTCCAGAATCCTTCTTTTCAGTTATCCCTTAACAAAAATAGGGAAGTACACGATCGTGGCTTGCTTTCTATCGTTGCAATCTATTTCATCCCGTTAATTGGAATCTCATTAACAGGAAGCAATTTGAGTGTTCTCTGTGTGTTATGACGTCTTCGTTTAACGCTCGATTCCGAGTAATTGACATAAACTGGTTAATCAATCGTTCGCTTTCCCCTTTCTTTTCTTTCCCTCCGTTTTATATTACGCTTTCTCAATTTTCTTCTCAACGATTAGCAAGTTTAATACACACCCCCCCCCGAAAATCGATCTTTTATTTCATTATCGATGAAAAATATGTTATTAACCTATTTCGGTCCATCGTTTCCATTTCAGTACACTTGATTTGAAATTTTCTCATTATTCCAATGTACACGAAATAAAATTTGCATCGCTAATATCGTACGTCATTGCATCCTTGATTTGAAAAAAAAAAAAAGTCCAAGCGAAATCAAGTTTTCAATCTTAAATTTTAATACAATTTACGAAGCTAAAAGAAAAAAAAAAAGAAGAAAAACTAGTCGCCGCAGTGAAACGAGTCAACGATACAGCTGACGCAGCAATTTTTTTCCGTCAAAAGCACGCGTACTTCTATTTATAATAAAGAAAGAAAAAAACTTGAAACATAGAATGGCATACGTACTTTCCTACTTGTGGCAGTAAAAGCTGGGACGTGTTTTTACACGTTTCTACACAGTTCCGTCGTGCTCGCCGAATTTTCTCACGCAGTTCCGGACAGTCCCGCGGTTTCCCGATGCTTAACAGCAGATCACGGTACTGGGCCACTTGCCCGTTGATCTCCTGAATTTGCTAGAAAAATAAAAGCGAAACCCGCGATTAACCCGGTTTCCCGCGATATGTAACAGTTGCTGTGATATACGCGACAACCGGAGATTAAACATCGCCGTGATCATAAACCGAGCAATTTGTTACGTGACCGATGATTATTCCGACGATAAACCGAGCGAACCGCTTATTCGAACGATTGTTTCCTCGTGCATGGAATAAACGACACTTTACGTTAATCTGATCGAAAATAGAACAAGAGAATTAGAGATTTGAATAAAATTTTTCTAAATTACATAAATTTCATATTTTTCCGTATCGGAAAATAGCAAATTCTTCGTGTTTGATATTGCTCGATTAGAGTAATATTAAACCGTGTAATCGTCGAACAGATGCGTAGTCGCTGACCTCAAATACAAATAATTAATATCCCCCGATAAATGTACGATTATGATAAGATAAACGAAAGTATCGAACAGCAAGTATAATAATTTACCAGAAGAATAGCCCTTTCCGCTTTTTCGCTCCTCTCATCTTGCGTCTGGATCTGAGCGTTGCTGACTGATGGTATCGGCGATTCCGTCATTATTTCGCTTGAACGAGCAACGTTTCGATTGCTAATTGTCGGATGGCAATTAACGATATCGCTCGGCAATATTCACGAATGCTATGAGATGTTTGTTACATCAATATCGGGGAGACACACCGAAATACAGGATTTTAAACACCGCTGTTAACACAGATACTTATTCGATTTTTTGGATCACAGCCAGAACAAACTTTTACGAGTACTTCGCGTAGATATATTCGTCTAGACTTTGGAAAGAAGCAACGGGACAAGTTTTCTTTTTTTTTTTTTTTTTTTCTTTTTTTTCTCTCTCTCTCAACACGGAATTGGTAATTTTTAAAGAGAAGAGGTGTATTTCGCCAGTCTGTGTAATTGAGACAGGATCGCTTGAAGCAAAAGCGGCACGAACACGGTGTTTCCCTTTAATAGGACCGATCGTTGTTCTTCGTTAACTGGCGTGTCCGAAAACTGTCGAAAACACGTCTGTTCGTCTTCGTTCGACCATTAGACGAACATTAAAAGTAGATTAACGATAGATTTACGAGCGGTTCCAGTGGGGACAATTAAAAGAAATCGTCCATTTAATGCTTCTGACGACGGGGACGGGGTAAAATGTGCCAACGAATAGCCCGTATTATTCTCATCACGAATCTCATTAAAGTCAGGCTATCGGCGCACTTTCGTGAATTCCTACCGGTCCCGTGATTCGTGTTCGACCCGTCCCTTCCGAATCTCGACGCTCGCTTCATCTTTTCACTGTCAGAATCACGGAGAAATTATATACCGCGTGTTCCCGTTAAATTCGAACCTCGGCCAGCTTTATTTCCTTTACGAGATGAAAAGTTTCCATTGTTAAAAAATATCGAGCCTCCTCGGCAAAGATGTGCGCGCCGTGCCAGCACACGCGACTAACTGAAACGTGGGTTTTGCTCTCGAGCTATTTCACTACCGCTCGTTCCCTTCTTAAGAGCGCATGTCTGACTTACTCCGCTCCTGTACTACTGTCGCTCTAACTAACCGTACCTTTCTCTTACACCAACGCGTAACCAGACTTTCGTGTATCATCAAAACAAACCCTGTTACTTAATTAACCCTAATAATGAAAAATTTTATATTTAATCTGACGCCGATAATTCGAAAAGAAAAATTTCAATTTTTCATTCAGTAATTCTTTTCGCTATCAAAATTATATCGTAAATATAAATTCGTTAAAATTTATATTCGCAATATCGAAAGTTTCCTGTTGTTTTAATATTTCGTGTTTCTGCTCCTTTCTTGAAATCTTGTCCCCTTTTCTTTCTTTTTCAATCGTATCGCGTACGTATGTAGGAAAAATGACCGTGAACCTTTTTGTACGAAGAAGAAAGGATCTACGAGGCTGTTTTACGTAGAAAGAGGAACTATCTGGTCAAACGGAAGGCTGGTATCGCGCTGGTTATAAACGAACAAAGTCATAAAACATAATTGGGAAGGTAGCGATAATGTTACGCTCGTTTGATAACGATGGAAACTTAAACGGATTTAGAATATTTATCGTCATTCTACTGCTGGTTTCATTCACCGTTACCAACCAATTTTAGATTGAAATGAACTCCGGATTGTCAGCTCCAGGCCGTGCTCTACCTAGAAAGCAATTACCCAGAGAATTTCGTATCATTAACAAAAGATGCTTTCGCGCTGCACAGCAGTCGCAACGGGAAAGCATTGAAACGAATAAAGATATTTGTGTAACGACTGGCTAGTTAAATATTGCATTACGATTAATTATTTTCATTTTTATCAAAACAATCGTCAAGTTTACTGAAAAGCGCGATTCGGACAGTTTGCTTTCATTTGAGAAGGTAATATTATCATCTATCACTCTTTCAGTTCAATCTGTGCCAAGTCTACAAATAAATTACTTATTAAATTAATGTCAAAAAATCTTCCCTTTCATATAATTGAAATTTTGTTATTTAAAGAAAATAAATCAATGCACGTTTGTCACATAAATTGCCTGTCTGATTAATTTCACATTATACTACTGTGGCAGTGAATAAATCATAAAATTATTTTATTATTATAAAATTTAATGATCACAGTTAGCTAATAATGACACAAAAACAGAGTTTAACTTCATTAAATTTTCATGCAACAACAGTAGTGTCTTATATTTTGTACGTCTGACTTATTCTACACTATACTACTGCAGTTCTTAAGATGCACAGATCGCACGAAAGAGGAGAGTCTGTACAATACAAATATCATGCAAAACACAATGAGATATAAAGTATATGTCATGATCAGGTTTTGTATGTAGATTCGCTCCATAATTGTTGCAACTTTTTTTCCTTTGTCTCGACTATAAATTCATTTGTACGGTGTGCCTCTCACTGTGTGCTGATTATGGAAAGTTCGAATTAAAATGGATACGATGATTTTTACGAATGATTCGAACTGTGAATATTCACTTGATATCGTGTATCTGAAAAATGAACACTTCCGATCCAAGACACTGATCGAAAGCAACTAAAGCCCGTTGCTCTTCCGAGTAACAGGTATACCTGCGAGCAGGGTAGAGAGGGGGGGAGAAACTGTGTCGTAGCAACAGGCGCGATGAACTGACAGACCAATTTCACGTTTGGAACAGCATCAACGAGTGCATGCGCGATTAAAATCGGATATCAAGTGCTCCATGGATTTTTAGGCCAGGGGAGACTGGTAAAAGGAGGAGCTGGTAAAAATTTCAGTTTGTGGGAAAAATATATCTTTCGTTAAAAATTAACTGGGTCGGACCTGAGATTTCGGGGATCCGAGACGAGCTCCGCAGAAAGTAGGTCAAATAAAATTTATACAAAATTTATAACTAACATTAAAGCTTGTATAACTAATTTAGATTTGCATTTACATCGATTAATATTCGAGTAAACATTCTTAGACGGAAAATCGTTTTATGGGGGCCCTAGGCGGTCGCCTAGTCTGTCCAGGACCAGGGCCAGCCCTGAGATTTCGGGGGTCCGAGGGGAGCTTCGAAAAAGGGTCCCTTCGCATATATAAAAAAAAGTAGGTCAAATAAAATTTATAACAAATTTATAACATTAACATTAAAGCTTGTATAACTAATTTAGATTTGCATTTACATCGATTAATATTCGAGTAAACATTCTTAGACGGAAAATCGTTTTATGGGGGCCCTAGGCGGTCGCCTAGTCTGTCCAGGATCAGGGCCGGCCCTGAGATTTCGGGGGTCCGAGGGGAGTTTCGAAAAAGGGCCCCTTCGCATATATAAAAAAAAGTAGGTCAAATAAAATTTATAACAAATTTATAACATTAACATTAAAGCTTGTATAACTAATTTAGATTTGCATTTACATCGATTAATATTCGAGTAAATATTCTTAGACGCAAAATTGTTTTATGGGGGCCCTAGACCGCCGCCTAGTCTGTCCAGGACTAGGGCCGGCCCTGAGATTTCGGGGGTCCGAGGGGAGCTTCGAAAAAGGGTCCCTTCGCATATATAAAAAAAAGTAGGTCAAATAAAATTTATAACAAATTTATAACATTAACATTAAAGCTTGTATAACTAATTTAGATTTGCATTTACATCGATTAATATTCGAGTAAACATTCTTAGACGGAAAATCGTTTTATGGTGGCCCTAGACCGCCGCCTAGTCTGCCTAGGACCAGGGTCGGCCCTGAAAATTAATTGAATTAATAACAAATTTTCTGCTAGCAAATTAACACGTTTGCTTAAGAGTTATCTTGACTCGAGGTATTCGAACGGTTGAAATAAAAGCGTTTCAGATACTCGTCGGAAGAGGATGATTAATTAAACGCGTGATGGTGGTGGCGCGTTGCTTGGATGTTAATTTCGATGAAACTGTTGTATGAAGGATTGGTCGATCAGCGTTCGGCTAAATATAGCCGCCAGTTAAATGCAACACGATGAACCAATCGCGCCGCATGCTGCGTGAATAGAGGACGGAGATTGGTTTTACCACGATGCCCCTAACTAACAGGTAAATTTAGCGTGATTCGAATCATCGTCTAGAAACGCTTGTCGTATTTACATCATCAAACGATACTGATTTATGTATATATACAAAGATATCCTATTTTGATCTATCCATTTGTTTTTCTAAAAATGATTTTAAACGAAGAATGCTGGAAGCGTTTATGTAACTAGAGGGGTGCCTGACCTATTCTCGACTATACTACTTAACTTCAGAAATAAAAAGTTATAAAGAATTATCAAAATTTTGCATCGATTGTGTTCGTTGATAAATCTACAAACAACGTCGAGATTATTTCGAAAGTTTAATTAATTTAGCGAGGTGTAACAATTAATTGCGGAATGGAAAGGATCTCGTCGAAGTTTTAATTGGAACGATAATTAATATATTTCACGGCTCGCCCTTGGCTACCAACAATCCCGCGCTCTTTTTCTCCTAGTTACGTTATTTGCACAGTTTCATTTGTTCGCGTTACTGTAAACCGTGTCGTTTTCTCGGCTAGCCGGAAACTGCCTCGATAACGAGCGAAATTCGTAACACGGTTTTAGAATTCACGAGGGCACTTGACATCAATCATAGCTGGTAAAAGTTAAAAGTGAAACAACGATTCTCCTCTTCTCTTTTTTTTTTTTACCACGAGCGTCAAACGCGATTCTTCGCTTCGTCTCGATAGAAGAAAATAAAATCATCTCCTTTACTGACAAGTTTCACCTTTTATCCGAATCGGAATTCTTTTAGCCTCGGGTTGAGTCGAGAAATGTGTCATTGATTTTAGAGAATAAAGGGAAGTTTCTTTCCAGGATTCGAGTGTTTCTCTGAAAAATGATTTTAATAGACCGACAAAATGATAAGGACTTATGCATCAACCCGATACGTAAAAGTAGAGCTGCGCCGAAGCTGCTCGTTTCATCTTCCCTTCCTCGAAACGTTTCTATTTACTTACTCTCCGCTGATGGTTTTCAATCTTTGAGAGCACGAAAATATAAATTCTTTGCTGCTGCGGGTGAAATCAATTTCTTAGATG